ACGCCCCTCGCGCCCCTCACGCCCCGCCGTTCCACGTCTTTTCCACTCTTTCTTACGCGGGATAAATGGAAAATCTTCTTCGAATTAATCAATAATATCGAAGCCTCGAAACCTCGAGACCTTCCTCCGGGTCCTACGAAAGTCGTCCCGCAGATGTCCTTCCAGGACGGATTTTTGAGGCGACTCCTGCTTCGAAATTGGATTTCGGCATCTCGATCGGTACGAGTCGTGCGTCCGAGGGAAGAGAGCGGGGAACAAGTGCGGAACCGCGAGAGCAACACAATGAACATCACAAATATATCTGTAAAAATACGAGAGCTCGAGTGGTCTTGTCATTTACTCCTTTGAATCCGACTCCTGATCTCTCGCATGCGCGCACTACCCTATGGTCGATATACCTTGGAGCCACCTGACGTGTTCGATGCCTTGGGTAATACCCAGCTACTCCTATTTACCCTTTTCATATATAAACACCCGTTACGTAGGCGCGTGCACTCTATCCTGCTTTTCTACGATGAATCTAATTCTACTGCTATCAGGTGTTACTTCTGCGACAATAATTACTCTACTTGCACGGCCAACCATATTCTTTCTGGCCTATACTTATTATTATTGCCGACCTTACTTCGCTCTCTCTTGGCTCTGTTCTTATGGTTGTCGCGCTGTTCGCTTCCTAGATACAACGCTGTTGACCCTTTTGGATCCGTCGAGGCTCTTGGAGGAGTTCTCATAAATTTTCAGCGCTTTACCGCGAACCGAGGGCGGAAACCACAATTGTCTCCAAAGTATTTCGGTACAGCCTCTTTATGGTTCTGCTGGAATTTTGAAGTTTCTATACCAAAGCTATAGAGACAGTCACGATCCCGGAGCAGCGTCTTCAAAACGACCTTGATATTCCGCGAAATTAGCTGTACTGAAACTCATATGAATGCAAAGTGATTTCACTGCCCAGTGGAAACGCAGTGATTTCCATAGCTCCAGGAACGTTAAAGCCTCTCGTGGGACATTGAACGAAGCTCGACGAACTAATGCACGATACATAATGAAGTAGCATGCGGTCAGGATCTCAAGGGGCAGGCCTTGTGAGCTTTTCTCGTTATATGGTACGAAATTTCTACATCAGCGACCCATCGACACGCGAGGCGTGCATGCGAATTCTCAGCATTCTGCCCGTATAGATATACCTGTACGAACGACGAAGAGCAGTTTCCTAAGATCTTGAAGAAACTTGGAAAAGAAGGAAGACGGAAGGAACGGAAGGGCACAAGGAATACCAACTGCGAAGAAAAGAAAAAAAGAAAAAGTGTGAAATATGTGTTCAACGTAGACCTTGTCACAGTGTATTTGCCTTCGCTTTGAAATTACGTAGTAAAATAGTAATATCTCGGGACTCCAAATGCCGGAGGAAACGGAAAAGAAATGGCCGACATCATCTTGGCAAGGATTAAGTGCACGTATTACACGTCGCGTGCACTCTTTCCCGAAGGATGCCAGCGCCAATTTCATGCTCCTGTTTTCAGAAGACAGTGAAGATTCCGGTGCACTCACGTTAAATTCAAGATATCAGCGGGAAACGTTGGACCAAAAATTCTTGTAGCCGGAGCTAATGACGTCACTGACTCGTCGAGACTTTCCGAGCGTCTTGACGCCTGGAAGACCCCGTGAAAATCAACGACGGAATAATTCTTCGGTAAGGCAAATACTCATTGTCGGCTGTTACAAGTCGCCTCTAGGCACGCCTCATGTTAATGTAGGACGTGGTAGCGTATACGCGACGTCACGTATCCTTCGGAAGTCTTTTCAAAGGCGTCCTTTCGCGATGCGTGCTACAGCATGGCTAACAAAGCAGTAGACACTACAGAGCTGCATTATACGTGCCAAGGTTTTCGAGAAGATCGCGCAGCTACGACGCGTACGAGGACCGTAGATATATGTAGTCCGTGAGGGGGAGGAAGAAAGGGGTTTCAGAAAAAGGGGTTGAGAGGACGGTCGGTGAGGATTGATTGGGTCATCCCCTCGGCAACCGATGGACAAACACAAATAAGCTGACCATCAACCGGGAAAGCGCTCCTGTCCACCCTCAGTGTCCCGAGCACGCTTTTCCCCTTCGCGATATCTGTCGATTTGTTTTCGCGTGCGCCACCTCCCCTCGCCCGCCCCTCCTACTCGGTGATCGCGTCGTGACACGTAGGGACGTCGCACCGCATCCTGTGGGACAAACGTAGTCGACATGAAACTCCTGCTCCTGGTGATCGCGATCCACTGCGCGACTTTCTCTCGACGTGGGTACGAAGTTGCCGAAGCACAACAGGATCCAGGGGGAACGTCGGCCAATAGGGATGTCAGACCCGTTAATCTCTGTAGGTATATCTTATGTCAGTGATTAAAATCTATTGAAAATCTGGTGAAACTTTTTGGACGATGACGTCAGCATCGTGCTGGACAGGCAACACACGCGTCACTGCTTTCCAACTAACATTCTGGAATTAGAGAATCGTAGACAATGAGGGTGCGAAGGCAGGGCGGGGACTGACGAATTGTCAGAGTACCGACGTGACAGCGATTGCTGGTATTTTTAATTAATATTCGGGACAGCTGACTGTTGCTTATTTACCGAGTGATCGATTTACCAGTCGTGCGTTCAATATTTTTGGAATATCCCACCATGCATGAATTCATCCAAGTTCCATGATATTACGTCTGACCTGCTCTCGTGCACTCGCAATTGCTCGAGGTACGCTAGATCGAGTCACGTAGGTTCGATTTATCCGGATGTTTCGAAATTTAAATGAATATTTTTCAATCGCTCTCTCGCGGTAGCCACATTCGCTGCTATACAGATATACACGCGCAGTATCCATACATCAAGCGTCACACTTCTCAAGATAACCGCCAGGGAAATAAGTTCCCTTCGAAATACATAGTATTTGCTAATACTATGGACTCCCGTTAATATTCAGCGGGTAAGGTCAGAGGTCGCCAGTTAATTCGAACTTTCGATAGGTTTGCCATAAATCTTTGAATAATGGCTCGGAAAACTTTAAATAATCATATCGATGCATCAGGACAAACGATACTCTAGGCCATCGACGTGTTTTTCAATTGAATTTGGCATTGCCGTTAGCAGTGGCAGTGTTCGCTATCTCTCAAGATATCTAGATGTCTTGACTGTAATTAATCTTTTAACGACCCGCAGTTATCGTGAACGACGTGACTAACGACATAGCCAACAAGAGCGTGATAAATGCCCTGAAGACTCTGAGAGATAAGAATCCAGGCTGGATAGGAGAGGTCTCCACTGTGCTGATCAACGGATCCGATCCGAGAGATACATTGGACAGACTCTGCGCCGCTTGGGATTTGGCGCTACGAGCAGGAAGCACCAAAGTCCCAGACTTGGTCCTGGACACGACCAAGTCAGGTTTGGGCGCTGAGACTGTCTGCTCCTTCACGGCAGCTCTGGGCTTGCCCACTCTGTCCGCTCAGTACGGTCAGCAAGGTGATCTACAGCAATGGGAGAATTTGACACCGGATCAAACAAAGTATCTGGTGCAAGTGATGCCACCGCCCGACCTTGTTCCTGAGGTCATCAGACAGCTGTGCCTGTCCATGAATATCAGCAACGCCGCCATTCTCTTCGACGAGGGTTACGTAATGGATCACAAGTACAAGAGTCTTCTGCAAAACGTGCCGACGAGACACGTGATCATCGAGGCGAAGCAAACGACCACCGAGTTGCAGTCGCAGCTGTCGCGGTTGCGTGATCTTGACATTGTCAACTTTTTCGTCCTCGGCGACCAGGAGACCCTTAGTGTCGCTCTGGACGCAGGCGAGTCCTTGAACTTCACAGGTAGAAAGTACGCCTGGTACGGACTCACACTCGACGACTTCAGTCTACAATGCGCCTGCAGGAACATCTCCGTTCTCTTTTTGAAACCGAAGCCCGCCGCAAGTCAGCAAGTCTTGAGCGAGCTGACCAGTCGTGGCTTATTGCCGAAACCACTGCTGCTCTCGGCATTCTACTACGACTTGGTTCGTCTTGGTATCTCGGCCATGAGGTCGGCGTTGGAGTCCCGTCAGTGGCCCAGAGAACCCAGTCACATCAGCTGCGACGACTACAACGTCAACAACACTCCCGTGAGGAACTTTGACTTTTTGTCCACGTTGAAAGTCACGACGCGCAACAGCGACTTTGTCCCGACTTACGGAGGATTCGCTTGGGGCAAGTCGAATGGCGACCATCGCGCCAACTTCAGCATGACGATCAATCTGGTGATAATTAACAACGGGAATCCCATATCAACGGAGGAAATAGGCGCGTGGCAAGCCGACGTCGACGGCGACTTGCAGGCAAGTACGAAACTGAGATCATGCCTGCATGATCGATTATTTTCCAATTACTGTACCTAAATCCGCTCTTCCCTCCAAAGCCCATACATTAGTTATCTTTGGTTCGTTCCTTTCCTTATTCGATAAGAGAGGTTAATGCATTCGGCGGGGCGTTTAATCGAGCCTGGTTCGATAAATTTACTTTCCGTCAACCCTCGGCTAGTGTATTTTCTTGCAACGGGAACAATTGGCTTCTCACTCGACTCAATGGCCATTCACATCTGCCCATTAAACACCTTCACCGAACGCTACATGTTGCCTTGATGCTGGTTATTAAAACTTTCATAAAGGTCTTCGAGGAGGATCTATTAACGAATCACACGGCGCTAACGAGCTATCGCGTAGTAACGGTTCAGCAGGCTCCATTCATCGTGTACGATGCTGAAAACGACACGTGGTCAGGTTACTGCATCGACTTACTTAACGAGATTCGTGAGATTCTCATGTTCGAGTACGAGATCCGTGAGGTCGATGACAAGCTCTTCGGTAACATGGACGAAGAAGGGAATTGGAACGGGATGATAAAGGAGCTGAAAGACAAGAGAGCGGACATAGCGCTGGGCTCATTGTCCGTGATGGCCGAGAGGGAGAACGTAGTGGACTTCACAGTGCCCTATTACGACCTAGTGGGCATAACGATTCTCATGCTAAAACCCAAAACACCCACCTCCCTCTTCAAGTTCCTCACTGTTCTCGAGAATGACGTCTGGCTCTGCATCCTGGCCGCATATTTTTTCACGAGCTTCCTCATGTGGGTCTTCGATCGCTGGTCGCCGTACAGCTATCAGAATAACCGCGAGAAGTACAAGGACGACGAGGAGAAGCGCGAGTTCAACCTGAAGGAGTGCCTTTGGTTCTGCATGACTTCCTTGACGCCTCAGGGTGGAGGCGAAGCGCCGAAAAATCTTTCGGGCAGACTAGTCGCGGCAACCTGGTGGCTCTTTGGGTTCATCATCATCGCTTCCTACACTGCGAATCTTGCTGCTTTTTTGACGGTCTCTAGGTTGGATACTCCCGTCGAGTCTTTGGATGACCTCAGCAAGCAGTACAAGATTCAATATGCCCCGCTCCAGGGTTCGTCCGCCTACACCTACTTCCAGAGGATGGCCGACATCGAGAAGAAATTTTACGAGTGAGTTGCTTTTTCCTATAATCATTACTTCCAGCGATTCTGATGAAGTCCGTTGCGTCCAGGTAGTCTGGTCTAATGCACTGCCAACTTTTAGCTATTAATCTCGGTACACAGGATGCATCCCGGCTCGCTGCACAAATTCTCTTGCAATTCCGGGAGAGAAACGTTAGAATGCATATCCTACGATTTTATAGACTGGAACAATTCGATTTTGCCGATTTCACGTGCTGACAATGCGCATTACGCTACTGCTGCTATAGAGCGACGATCCATTCGTATATTTCCACTATGGAGTTTTACCAGAATCGTCTGGAGTTTTATTCTTTGAAATATAATTTTCAATTTTACAATGCATCCGCATTCTACTGTAATGCATTCGATAACGATACTTGCATTAACGATTAGTGCACGTGTGCAGATAGGCAAGGTACACACACGCGATGCACGCATGTGATGGGTATTGCTCTCGTTAATTTATCGTTGAAAAATGCCGCGTCCCCGATTATCGCATGGGCCATTTATACAGACTCGCTTGGTGTTCCTGGAAAATGTAGCTCTCGAAATAATCGCACTGCTCATCTGCCTATTCAACGACGATTTCCGAACTACAGATATACTATATACGTACATGCGCAAGATTGTATCGCGTGGTCAAATTTATAGCAATTCACTTTCGACGGAGTTCACGTTCTTCCATGGACAAGCGGAGCAAAGCGTGCGCGTTCGTGTTATTCGTAAAGATAAGGACGGACTAGTTCAATTATTCGCTGAAGTGCCAGTGTCACGCTTCAATGGAGATTATTTCGCCGTAACACGTAAAGACTCATTCCTTTATGAATACTCAATGACGACCATCATTACAAGCGAGTAGACTCCAGCTGCATTTCGTTTACAGGCGCAACTTCATTTAGTTAGGTTAGGTTGGGAGGACTACCTTTGACGTCGGGAGACTCGCTCTCGTTAAATATGTTAATATTTACACGAATTAATACTTACCGAGGCTCGATAGAATAATAGAATCCTTACTTGTAGTCGCAGATGTAATAACGGTGATTCCTGTTATGTTGGCCGCCGAACAAGTTCCTACTTTATCCGTCATGGCGTAGCTGCGCCACCAACGTCTGGGACACTCGGTGATTAATCGATCGAGCAAATCAGCGTCGATACTTTTTACCTCAGCGTGAACCCGTGTAATTGGGATAATTATTGAACAACATGGCTTCGGGATGAGCAGCCAATGAATTATTATTGGGGTTCGAAGTACATGTTGGGAAATTCTGGTTCAAGGATTAGCTAGCTAGTCTTGTTGTTCGCTTCGCTGATCTGAGCCAAGTGACAGATTTGCCTTTACACTTGGAGTGGCAATAACTCAGTGTTACGTTATGGAAATTGCACTTTATTAGCAGGGCATAGCTGTATTCGGGCTACGTTGCTTGTGCGAGTCCCGGCGAATGTTTTGCTTGCTGAAATTGAAAGAAAAATAAGAGTGCGAGAAAGAGGGATAGAAGAGTGAGAGAAAACAAATAAATTTCCGTTGGATCCCATTGGCGCGGTTCATTGAAAATGAGAAATTTCAAACGAGAATGGAAGCGTCGTGAATCTGTTGTGCGAATTCGTAAAATTGTTTGTCATAAAAACTGAATACGTTGGCATGTTGGAAAATTAAAAACGGAACAACATAGCGGTTCCGGGCTAAAAGGAAATAACAATGAAATAATTCATGAACATTATCGTTGGTGTTGATGTTCGCATTGAACTTTCGAACGTTCAAAGCACAGTTGGGCGTTTACGAAAATCTCGTTATCGAAGCAGATTGTTGCTATTCCGATGAAAAATAGTATGTGGATGATCGAATGGAGGCCAAGCGGATTATTCCCACTTGAAATTCGCACCTGTTTTTCAGTTGGATATTGGAGAATTAAATATTCAATGCATGAATAAAAAACCGCATCGTATTCTGATTTTCATATTCCTATTTCCTCTGCAACATTTACATTGAAAACTTCACATTTCTTAAATACATATTCTCGAATTTTGACGTAGTTCTTAGACATTCTGATTAAAAGAATTAAAATAATTCGCAGGATCTGGAAGGATATGAGTCTGAACGACAGTCTCTCTGACGTGGAAAGGGCGAAGCTGGCCGTTTGGGATTATCCGGTGAGTGACAAATACACGAAGATGTTTCAAGCCATGAAGGAGGCCGGCTTCCCCACGGACATGGAGGACGCCCTGAGTAGAGTAAGACGCTCTAAGAATTCCAACGACGAATTTGCATTCATCGGCGATGCAACCGACATTAGGTATCTTACCATGACCAATTGCGACCTCACTATGGTGGGCGAGGAGTTCTCTAGAAAGCCGTACGCCATTGCTGTCCAGCAAGGATCGCCTCTCAAGGATCAGTTCAATAACGCGTTCGTACCAGGATCACTCTTCTTAGAATACTTTGGTACTGCGGATAACTGTAGCTTATACGTTTACGTGCCGTTTGCAGAATCCTGGTCCTACTGAACAGACGAAAGTTGGAGAAGCTCAAAGAGAAGTGGTGGAATCGAAATCCGTTGAAGAAGACGTGCGAGAAGCAAGACGACCAGAGTGACGGGATTAGCATTCAAAATATCGGTGGCGTTTTCATTGTCATTTTCGTGGGAATTGGCTTGGCTTGCCTGACACTGGCCTTTGAATACTGGTGGTATAGATATCGACCCAGAGCCAATAACGCGAATCATAATATTCACCAAGTGCCGAAGGGTGTACCAAATGTTAAGCCGATAAGATTTAATTTGCAACCAGCAGCTACACGCGCGTTTCAGTCACAGCCAAAGTTTCGGGCGCGTTTTTAAATTTTGAAAATTTGCTTTGTATTTTGCCGATAAAAAATGTGGCGACGCCCAAAATATCGGATAAATTGTGGAGAAACGCAAAGTTTGCATAGGTTGGAATCTGTTACTTGAAACGCAGTGTCTTTTTGAAAACACAGAGAATTACGTTTGCACGTGTGCCCTGTATATCGTTGAATGATGAAAAATTCTAAATGTTGAAGATGCAAGAAGTCTTTCATTTTCACTGATACGCTTGTATGTTAAAATTTCAATAAGTTCATAATGAATGCACGGTGTATGTATATACACACACATCCATACGTATGAGATGAGTATAGTGTCCAGAATCGATAACTTGACCGTCCAATTAATAACAGTGTCTGAGCATTGTCAACCCTCTAAATCCTTACAACGAAAATCGGCTTTATACTCAGATGAAAACTAATTACAACATTTCCAAACGACACTTACCAGACGACGTTACTACTTTGTTACGAATAAAATGAATTATTCACGCGAAAATCGCAACATCTATAATACAAAGTTCCAGAATTCTGTCGTTGGTCGAACTGCTCATTTCCCTGATGCTGTTTTGCACGCACAAATTATTCATGTCAATTTAAGCGAATGTGTATGTTTAATTGTAAAAATACATAATTAAAGACAAGAGGATATCATTCGTGGTTATTGATTAGTTTCATTGTATATGACGCATATTGCATAATTAGAAAATGCTTTTTTTATGAGAAAAAATCATGTGGTAATAACTAGTCATCTAAGTGACAACTACTAAGAGCCGTTAAAGCTAATGTTTTCACCCAACGACCATTTTAATGCAAAAAAATAATATAGAGGAGAAAGAGGAAAAATGTTCTGCGAGGACCACGAGGGACGTAATTGAACATTCAGTTTGCAATGCCTTTATTTGGTTACTCCCATTGCGTACATCCTTCTCTCAAAGAATATATTTTGTGTTTCATTGCATATTTCCATTTCTCCTTTCTCAGTTTTTCATCTCTTCCAAGGGAGCATTCGTTAGATAACATCCATCATTCCTCCGTCGCGCAGTGACACGTACGCCCTATTATCATTATCAACAGGCATTTCTCATGTAACTTAGGGACAATTTATGTTCCATTTTTTCATCACACCTTTTTATCTCAAGGTGTGCACGTTTTTCAAATACACTTTTATACATGTACGTTTTTCAGTTACTTGGTTTCCATAGGGGACAAGTGTGTATCTTGTGTGTTATTGGATGTGTATCGTGTGTCGTAGATAAGGGAAAGTTTTGGGAAATTTTGGGATTTCAGGATCTGCGGTGCTGGTGAGGAAAATAGTACGTTTTTTCTTAAATTTGAATTGGATGCAGGATATGGTTACTCAAGTAACAATGGATTCTGGAATTCAAGGGGGTTGGATAGTGGTTAGGATAGTATGAGTAAGGGATAACGGGAGTTGTCGGGTACAAGGAGAAGGTTAATCATTTAAGGTGTTAAATTATAATTAGGAAATATGATTAAGATAATTAATTAATAATTAAGGAAAAAAAACAAGAAAATAGAACAGCACTTGAATATCTTTTCGTAGCGTGCAGCGATCGACTTTTCTTTTTTTTCTTTAACTTTTTAAAGATGTTTAAATATTTTGTTTGATGTTTTTTTTTTACCTTTCTACGTACCAAAGTTCGAGCACGTTACGTCCATTATATACAAGTAGAGATGAGGAATAATAGCCACTAGCGATTCTGCGTATTTGGATAGCGACGTCACCGGCGGAACCTCTCTACTCTGATTTGGTTTATTTGTATGCATGAGGGACGATCTCCTTACAAATCAACACACGTAGAAAGTCCCTCTCAAAGTAGGACTGATGTAGTTTTGAACGTGACGTCATTGGGCGTTTCGTGATCTGCGCGAAAGTCCGATCGCTAGTGGCTACACCTCGTCTACTTGTATTATGGTTACGTCTTCCTGTATATGATAATTATATATAGTGTTGCGAATATCACCAAACGGGACGAAAGGAGAAAAATTAAAATCTTGCACATTGAGATACAAGTGAGAATGAATTCTCACGGTGCGGAGAAATAGCGAATAATAAATATGTCATCTTGGCAAAAATCTATGGGAGAAATCATGATCAACAAGTTAGAAATAATAAATCGGAAATACACTCGTATTACTCTTTTCAATGTTCTCTCATCGTTTAAATAAGACGTTGAGGTTATACCCTTTTTTTACTTTTCATTTTTGTTTTTCTTTGTGTTTTTTTGTTTTTCTTTTGTCAAAGGATTAATAATCATAAAATTATCATCTGAATAAACCATTATTACTCATATTTCATAGTACTCTCGCGTTTCTCGTATTTTTGCTTTTGAATTGCTGTTTCCTACGGATGGCAAGGGGGCTAGCCGAGCCTTCTTGGGTTCATGCATAACAAATTCCACATGCCAAGAGGACCCCCCTGTCGTACTTTGCACTCTCAACTTCTTTCCTCTGTGTTTTGAGAAAAATAAAATTATAGCTAAAACACAACTCGCCATTCCGGTAGCATGGCGACTCCAACCTCCTCTTAGTTTTCCCTTCTTTCTCCTTTCTACCTATATCTCAGCCTTTCACTTTTTCATCGTATTTTTCTTTATTGTCTTTTCAGTTAGAGGGTTAGTGGGCGCAATGCAGCCAATGGCCGGCATCTCAGGCTACTGCTGTGTCTTCTGTAAAATAAGGAAGAACAGATTTTACAAAAACTATCCTTAAAATATCGTCAAAAGTCGACGTCAAGGTGATTCACAATAACTTACCTCTTCCTGTCGTTGTGTAAGGGTAAGCTAGATTGTACCCAGCCGAGTTGGCCCGTTGCAAAAGTATCCTTCTCGTTTTCTACAGGATCCTGGATAGTAGAACTTCCGACACCGACCGGTGAATGGTAAAAGCGATCCTGTTCGGAGAGAATTCTGCGTTTGACCGGAGATCGAATGGGCTCGGTTTGAACGCACTTGTCACATTGACGCACCCTGAATTTCAGCGTTAGATTCGAGGACGCGGCAGGGGGAGGCGAATCGCTTTCCCGATACTCCATGTACGGGCTCTCTCCTCCTGGTAGATAGAGCAGGTTACCTGACTCGGATCTGCGATAGGCAACACGCTCGAGTGTGTTGTTCACGGGAAACGTGGTCCCGTCGGCCCAGTGACCGTCATCCTTGATCGGCCGAAAGTGTGTTCGGTTCGATGTAAGAAGGTCTTCGTCCGGATCCGGAAGGCTGTTTACCTTGAGGTTCGAACGAGATTGCTTGCCTGTGCCAATGGGGGTCTTGTGAGGTGCAACCGGGAAGAAACAGCTACCTGTTCGTGGACTGTCGTTCAGAGTGGCCAAGTTGCTGCCAAGATCTCTCCAGCACCAGGGTCCATCCATGATGGAATCGGACCAATTCACATTGTACTCTGCAATTGGACACGTGCGTTTCGAAAGAAGTCGACTCTAAATTGTCTTATCTATCTATATCCACAGTCTTGACTCTGTTGTACGTACCTGCTGACTTTTCCTTGTTCCCGGATTCGTCCGCGTAATCTTCGACGCCAATCAAATCGATGTCCCATGGGATAAACGGTGAGTCGTCTATGATAGATTCCTGATACGGTGTGTCGGCCACTGCTGCAGAGTGTCCCTTGTCCGATATGGGCAAAGCGAAAGTGGCATCGATGGTGTCCGTAGGCCAGAGTGGTCCGGAAGGAATCGAGAGAGAAGGAGCTGCCCAAATCGAAGCCGTATTCTGGGCATTGCCGGGACCTGAATCCCATAGTGCTTCTAAACTCTGGTCGAACTTTGCTTGCAGCTGCGCCAATCGCAGCTGATCCAGTTCCAATTCGCGTTCTTTCTCTCGTTCACGTTCCATCGATTTCGCGAACCCGTAGTTTTCCTTTTCGTCAGATCTTCGCAGATCGATTGCCTGCTGAAAGAATGCGCGCTCGCTGGTTGGCGGATTTTCATTGGATCCCCCGATGGTCATCCTCAGGAAAACTTCTTCCTTAGTTACGAAGGCCATCTTCGTTTTCCTATGACGGGGCTTCTGGTTGTTGTTATTGTTGCTGCGATTATTATTGTTGCTAGTGTTATTCTTGCTGTTATTCTTATTGTTACAGTTGATCTTATTGTTGCTATTATTGTTTCCCACGTTCCTGTCCTTCCTCTGGGAAAACTTTTTCGGGGTGGCAGGTTGCAAGGCCGGGAATGCAGCGTAGTATCTGAGGGCTTTGTCTCTTGGAGTCAGGGATTCGAAGGCTGCCTTTGATTCTACTTCTGTCTTCTTGCATTCTTCTTTTTCGTCGCTCGAGCCTCCTCCTTCCAGCTCTCGCAATTTCGCACACAATTCGTCCACCAGCGACTCCACCCCACACTTCTAAAACACCGGACAAAGAAAAATCCTGCATTTCCATCAACTTCATTTGGCCTAAATCTCCGTAAGCTCGCAAAGTACCTCAAATTGTGGGTCGCTCTGCCCGTCAGGCATGACTCCTGTTAAAGCATAAGAAAGTTTACCTGGTCAGCAGCGCTGGTAAGACATTGCACGGCGGCACGCTTCTGTTCCCTGTCTCCTGGCAAGGGCAGCCACCCTCTAGGTCTCTGGCGCGTACGACGTCCTCCGCCTCGGCCTACGCCCACTGCCTCTGCCGGAGGGCTGAGGGCCGAGTCGGGGCGGCGCAGCAAGCTGAGTACAAAGCGCGAGTACGCCACCGGGTCAATTCCCAATGCGTCCAGGCGTGCCTCGAGCCACTGGCGCAACTCCTCCTCGGCCCTGTTACCAAAGACCCCACCCCCACCTGGGGATGCCGCAATCCCAACCAGACGAGGAGCAGGGTTCCTCATTCCCTCGCGACGGATCTCCTCCAGAACCCACGAATTGTCGCGAACTCTGCTGCCTCCGGGGTGATCATCCTCTCTCCTGGAGTGGCAAGTACTACTAGCTCATCAAGTGGCCAAGAGAAGAAATTTTTATGTAGCCTACGTACAACAGTTGTGCTTACCTGTATGAATTTCGAAGTTTCTTTTTTTTTTCCTTATAACGTCTCAACACCGCCGGAAACAGCCACCAACACCACCCTTTCGCCTTTTACCCTTTCCACTTGTCAATGGATCCCTATTTAGTTATGTATTTGTGATTTTTGTAAATTGATCTGTGTTTGTTGCTTTATCTCAGTTACTTGCAGTGGTATTGCTTATAATTTGGTTAATGACTGTTAGTGGGTATCCGGTTCAGGTACACAGACGGTGGATGTGTCGTCGTTGCAATGATGGCAGGCCTTAGTGAAGGATAAGCAGTACAGTCTTCTTTCCATTTTGACACTGAAACGCACAGAAAATATACTTAATTGATGCAAATAATACAATCAATGAACATTTATATTTGAACGTCGTAAAGTAATACTATCAGTGGCGTCGTCGTCGCAACGTCAGGAATACTCACAATCAAAATAAAGGGAAAAAAAAATTGCCTTGCTTCAGTCACTGGAGCACGAGCGAACATTCGACATGGCAAAGAATGATTGTAAGGTACAAGGACCTTGGCGAAACGCGAAGCATTGTGCACAAAGGACTACTTCGAATCGCAAAGGGATGAACAATTGGTACAGTTAGGGTCAAAGACAGTAATAAAATTGAACAGTTAGCGCGCCACCCTTGTCCGGATAATTCGTGACATCACCGAAAGCCTTAAGCAGCACTTTCGAAATGTCCGAAGTAAACGATATTATCTTCCTGAAGAACAATGAATCCGATGATGTTATTGTTAACAAAAACATTGTTCGGATAATGCAAATAACCTTGCCGATTGCGCTATGCGTTTCCCCTGAGTCATAGGACGACGACGAGGTGCCTAGTATTGCCTGGGCACACGACGTTGCGAAATAAAGCCGCGTTTGCACCTTCTCCGCACGAAATCTGGGAATTTTCGAAAACCCACTTGCTACCCGTGTACAAGGTAATCAAAAACACTTTAATTCCGACGTACCTGCATATCCCGAGAGATGATTTTCACCCCGGCCTCTTCTACACACCCCACTTGGTGAAAAACATGGCGGGCCACTAAGCCTGAGCCTCGCCTCCCTTCTTCCGGACTTTCGACCAGGTCCGTATCATCTTCACAAGGTTCTAGGTCTTCAGAAGCCTTTCGATCTCCTAATTCTTCTTAGTCTCAAAAAACGACAAAGTCTTCTACGTCATACCTTCCGCTCAACCATCAATCAGCGTTGACTCGTCATTGATAGTCTAGCAGCCTTATCATCGTCAAACAGATTTTTTGATTATAAATCAAGGCCCCTTTATATGTTTTCGCGTAGCTACGTACCTGGAACAGGATTCTCCCACCAATTTTACTGCGCTTCTCCGCCGCGCTTATTCTCTACGGCAAACGTTCACACTAGTCACAGCATGCCACACGTAGAACATCTTGTCATCTGTGTTCTAGATAATCATTATCCAACAAAAGATCTTTTGCTTCAGACCATTCATCTAGATAATTTATCTGCAGCTTGTCAAAGCGCATAGGTTTCTCATTGCACCACGTGCATTTCTGGCGTGATGCAGATAGCGCAGATTTTTCAGGGTGTGCCTGATCGATGTTATCGGTGTGACATCATCCTCTTGAGTAGATTTATTGGGAATATTTATAAAAATCGAATTTTGGGGTAACATCAGATGATAGGCCGATATATCATTTACCGGTCGTTACCATAGATACTCATTAGCTTCTACATGTTTATCTGATTGGACAGCTGTCGATTTAATGAAATCATCAAATCATGCTGCAAATATATGCTGTCAAAATAAAACAGGGCTGCAAATATATGTATAAATACTTACCGTTGATTCTCGATGAGACGCAGCGCTTGACTTTTCTTTCTGAACAATCTTACATATTAGATCTACTTACCTAATGAGCTTAGAATTTCTAAAAAAAATTTATGAACCGCATAGAATGATACTTCAGTTTGATAAGATTGACACTGAAAAGGGACTCTATCTATTTCAGTGAAGGATAAAATGATTTCCAAGTTTTAACTGGGTAAAAATAGAAATTGTGTAAGATTGCGCAATCAAAGGTAAACTTTTCATAAGATGATATAAGGTATTTTGAGTAAACTTTGTCAAATACATTTTGTATAGGCTTTTTTATATAACAGTAGTACATACATATAATATGTGACGTGTTTGTTTCGCTTGCTTTTTGTATTATAGATAAATATGAAGAATTAGTATATACTTATAATTGTACATCACATCTCGTTCGTCGCCTTACACGCACATATGAGGGCATCAGTATTAATTATTTAATACTCTCTTTCCTCCCCTGCAAAACGACTCAAGTTCACAGAAACATGGAAATAATCAAAAAAGGCATAACGACTATATCGAATTTCTCTCATAGATGGAATGATATCTCCACAGTATGCAGAACGTCTTGAAATTGCGCGAGTAGCCGTATGATTCGCAACAAGTGACACACGACTGTGACCAGCACATGCATATTGTCACTTGGATATCGGGAAGAAAAGTATTTATGATTAGATGCCGTTAAATGCATCGCCTTCATTTAGCTAATTTGAAGGTTCTTCACGTATGCATAAATAACAAGCTATACGTCGAGGTAATTAATCGATCAGTAAAATATTACATAGTGTATGGGTATGATGTGAAACCAGTCGGCGACTCACCTATAGCGAAGATCGTACGCAAAAGGTCTAACGAGTCTAGTTTCTTTTTCGTCTCCTCTGCTTTCCTTATGCCAATTCTAACGGCAAGACCCAACACGTCTAGGCAATTTGTATTTTTCGAATTTGAAAACAATGCGCCTGTCGTTGTAAATCGGGTGTCTTGATTTGGTAAGAAACATTAATCTAGTTTGAATAAGTGTACAATTTACGTCCGGTTCTGTGGCGGTCACAGGTGCTTCGACCCTTCTGCTTTTTTCGGCGAAGGCGGCACGCCTGGAGCAATGGGAGGATTGTTAACTGGATCGGAGCTCGCATCGGATTTCAATGCCGATGAAGTGGAATTTCTGTCGTCTCCAACTGTAGGACTGACTTTAACAGATTTACCAGGTATTCCGGAGTTTTCCGTCAGCTCTTCCTGCGGAAAGCGTGGCTCGGTTGTCACTGGCGCGGCAGGTACCGGTGAAGGCGTTTCTGCTTTTTTATTCTCCCTCGCATCTTCCGTTTCTTTCGCCTCCTTCGCTCCTCTCGCATCTTTACTTTCCTTTTGTAAAGCCTTTTGAATCTGTTCCTCTACCTCTAGAACCTCTTCCTTTTCCATTAGCTCTATCAACTCGTCCACTTGCTTCTTGCTGAGTTTTATATCTTCCTTTCCTATGAGCTCCACCACCTGTAGCCGATGAATTGTATTATTAAAAATTGTCAAATATATTGCACTTCCTTTATTTTTCTCTTTTAAATAAAACATACCTTTAGTACGTCTTCAATTTTAATTGCACCATCCCTATCGTCGTCGATCTTGCCTAAAATTTCGGCTATACGTGTTAATCGAGACTCATCAGGAACATTCTGGATTTGTTTAATGGCTGCAATCAGTTCGTCTATCTTGACTAATTCTTCGGCCGTCTTAGAATCGGATTTTTCTTCGGGGGCTAGGGACTCCAATTTCTTCTTCATTTGTTTCTCGGACTGCTCAAGTTCCAACAATACGGCATCCATCTTGCCGATCATCTTATTGACCTTGTTAAAAAGTCGCTTAGCACCCTTTGACACCTTAATATCTTCTACGTCCCTTTCACCCTTTGCCTCGGCCTTGATCTGATACAATTCCTGGATGTCCTCCTGATACTCCGCCATCTCCTCCTTCAATTCCTTGATCTCCTCCTTCTCCACAGACATCTTCTTGTTGTCCTAATGTAAGATCATATTAATAAACATTTAACCAGTAAGGAATGGACACGCAATGACAATACTTGGCTGAAACTGACCTTTCCAATAGAGTCCAGGGCTTGTTCTAGAACTTTAACGTCTGTCGTTGTGATTTCGTCCGTCTTGTCATCGTGCACAGACACCGTTGGCTGTGGCTCAATTTCTTTCCTCTCTTGCCTCTCTTCCTCGATGCGCCGTTCCTCCAGTTTGATGATCTCAATATTCGTTCTATGATCCATCTTACCCTCTTTTTCTCCGATCGCACCCTTTGTGCGCGCCACCACGGCATCCGGTAGAGCGGAAATCGTGGCCTTGAGCTTATCGGACATCGGAATAGTTTCCGAAACCATGAGGGCCCGAGAAAGTAGCAACAACGAGGGTGGCACTTTCTTATTTAGGCTGAGATCGAGCCACTGGGATAATTGGTCTCTTAATTTATTTTCGGGCATCCCGTACGCTCTCATCCCACGAGCTCTGCAGGCTTGCTGTAGTTCGGCTCTCGTCAATGAGTCTACTCCTTCCTTTTCGATTAACTGATTAAAGCAGAAAAACATTAAATTGTCAATGATTATGATTCTTTGAGGTTAGACACGACTTCACGTACCTTATCGTCAGCTGTCAGACTTCTCAGTCTCATTCTGAGAAGGAATCGCAGAAAGTTCGTGGTGCCAAGGGTCTGCACGTCCAATACCCGACATAACGCAATTAATTGCGGACGTGAAAGTGAATCTAGCGTTATCTCATCCTCAAAAAGTTTACTGAATTTCAAGATTTCTTCGTTGCTGGCAACATCACCAGTCGTTCGGACCTTGTAAAAGAATTCTGCAAATTCTTTAGCTTTCTGAGATCTGTGATCTGACGACTGCACCGCCATATCATCAAGAGTTTTTTGTAAGAACTTTGCCATCTCTATTTTGACCTGAAAGTAATCACGCGGTATAGTAAGTATCTGCTTTCGGTGAAGTAATCTACTGGAATTATACCTTTAAAGCCTGCTTAAGTTTATCCTCCTTCTCAGTAGCCGTTTGAAATGTCGATGGTAGTAGTCCGGGGAACAATTTAATTACTACAGGCAACAATAATTCCATAAATGGAACAATAATAAACACAGAGAAAGGTATCAACCTGAACACATCTCCTGTGGTTTTAACTAGCTGCAAAAAATGATTACGAAGAATTATAAAACATGAAACGTAAATGATAAATTCTCCGGTGACTTAAAGCGAGAGTGCGGCAAGTGCTACAAGAATGAACAGCATACCAATCTATGTTCTCGTCTGCTGAGTTCTTTCCCTTGAAGGATTCGCCATATTAATTTAACCGAGATTTTCATATCTAGCCCTAATAACCGAAAGCCATGATAATAATGCAATATCTCAGCTTTTATCTTTTGCCACAGTGTACGCTTTTCAGCAACAGCCTTTTCCGGTGCTTTTACGACATCCGAGGTGTGCAAAGCTGCCATCTTTTCTTTTGCTTTTTCTTCCTTTTGCTCTTTAAGGTTCTTGACAGTCTCCTCGACTTTCGAGGACGGTTCTTGGCCTCTCCACGCGTGTGACACGTGAAAGTGACGAATTTGGAGGCAGGATACGCCAATTGGGGATGCATCCAACGACGTCGGATCAATGGATCTCGGAACGGCCTTGAAATCTCTCGTATTGGTACACATAAGAGCAAGACTTGCAATTCTGCTATCGTCATTGTACCATATTTTACGGCAGCAACAATCTATAACAATGAAAGCTAAATAACACTCAACCTTTTTTTATATCTTTTTTGTTTATGTTAATTCATTTTGAGGCTAATGATCATGTAGGTCAATCTCTGAAAAACATGTGGGAATGGCCTAGAACAATTTTTTTCACTGCCACTAAAACGAAACTGTGCAGCACCAAAAACTCGTACAATGTCCTTGAGCGGAAGTCACAATTTTTGTGCAGCCTTAAACTGACTTGAGTTAGTCAATAACATAGATGTAATCGGCTAATTTAGTGTCGTAATTTAGATTAATAAGTTGTAATAATAAAAAAGGTATTTGTGAAATGAACGCATTTACCAAGAAAAGTTGAGAGTCGATACGGAACACGGTGGAAGTCATGGGTAAAAGGACATTGTCGGCAAATTTAAGTCAGTTCGACCTTTCGGAAGACATCGAATGGATGATGTCAATATAAGGTTAAAGTTCAATTTCAACGTGGCATCGAAAATTAAGTTTAATGCACTTGATGCTGTTGATAGGAGTATATTATAATAATAATGCAATGAGCTGTTAAACGACATCTATCTAGTTCTTAGGTGCCGTCGGAACCGTTCGGAACAACCTAAACATAACCTAAGATACCATCCGATATAACTTAGTAAAGTAACTGACTTAGAAATTACATCTTTCTGGCAATGAGTGGCAGACCGTTTGGAGTCACGTATATTAATAGTCATAACAGGCAAGTGTGCCTTCTCCATGTTACATAAACACGCGCAAGTAGTGGCAGCATGTAGAACGCACGCATAGAGGGTAAATTATATCGATGTACGCCTATACATGGAATAAGAAAAAAAGGCAATAAAAATTCTGAATACGTACGTTTTAGAACACTGGAGCGCATAGCTGTCCTAGCTTTAGTATAAATTAATGGATTCATCCTGGATTACGTGTCTTTCGTTTTGCGAGCGCTTTCGTTGCTGTGTTTCTCTGCAAACATACGACAGAGCACAGCCATCACACATTTTCCAACTGATCTGAACATAGCGTCGGAGTCGCTTGATCATGGATGATCAGCTGGTATTTGTGGTGCCACTACAGAGACTATCTTCACGAGTTATTGGTCAGACTGACCATGACGCGCTAAAATTCTAGTGTCTTCCAACTTCAAAGATAAATAGTTTCCCCAGATCTTTTGTGATAGCGAATTGAATTTCGTGCTTCGTCTAGCTTTGGATTAATTGAAAAACGTAGAGTAACCATGTGGTACTTTGCGCAGCCAATCGATAGTGTTTAAAAGTTTTCCGATTAATTAATTAGATGACATCCTTTGTGTTTGTTGTGCCTCATCCTGCACGGGTTATTCAAATCGTTCACATTGTTTTCTTCGTTCGAGGAACAAAGAGATTGCGATGAAGTATTGCGGAGAGTAGATACACACCTACTGTATTCCGTAAAGACGCTCTCGGAAATTGATTGTGGTCAAAGAGACAGGCCAACGTGTAACAAGTGATAAAAGTGACGGACAAGATACCGCGTTGTTCGAAGCGTTAATATAAACGTTCGTAATTCGTCAGGCGTCCATTCGAAAGCCCGCTTCTGACGTTGTTGTGACGTAGTCACAAGCAGTCAAGTAAGAGTCAGGAGAGGCTGCGATGTTTATTTTCGTGTTTTTCGGGCTCGAAGAAGCTGATTCGCGACAAAGGTACATCGAGAAGATACAGTTTTTATTAGACGACCGATAAGGATTCCGTAATAAGAATTCGCTTACTCCGTGTTGCTGAATTTTACGGAAAAACAAGATTTCCGCGTGCGATGAACTTCGAAATTCCGGCGACGTGAGGTGGCAGACTATTTTGTGATTGGTCGAAGAACTCCCCCCGATTGATCGCTCGCGCTGTTCATGTGACCTTTTCCCGTTTATGCAAACCTCGGGAGATATTTTTCTCACGATCTCGTGGCAAAACAACAACAGACATTGGTGTCCCGCGATCCGCGCTCTCGTATTTCGCCTGTCGCACGTGGGAAATCCTCAAGTGTGTCGCGTCTTATGTGCTGTGCGCGCTGTGCAGTTCTTCAGCTAGTTGAAAACAGTTGTCGAGGTGTTTGCGATGCTGTCAATCACGAATAATAGTTGCTGACGAAAGTCATGGTCATCATGCGTGCAGGTCGTGAACGCAGGAGGGCCGCTATGTAATCCAACCGCGTTCCTTCCATTCTTCAGACTCTGTCGTTCACGACAGTGCGTCGACTTCTTGCTTCGCCATCCTGGCAGACGATTCCCGAATCTAAAGGAAAAGCTGCTCTCCTTTATCTCCTTGCATCTTCTTTGGCAACCTTAATGATTTAGTCGTCTCTGTGATCAACCAGTTTGCACTGTCATTGAGTGGTCATTGTCTCTCCCACGCGTCATCCGGGGATCACTCTACTTGTACAGAAGCAAAGACGCTTCTTGTCGAATCGATCGTCGAACTTAATTCATTCCTCGATTGACATTTTCTCCCAAAAAGAGGATCTGTACAGGCTAATAGTACTTGCTTTCGTATCGATTCCACATCGGAATATATCGACTTTACTATTTTTTCAAATTTGTACGTTTCTTAAAGTTCGAGAAAACGTTGCCTCATCGTTCATAGAGTTAGAAGTTTACTTGGAGTACAGAGACTTTATTTATATCCAATTATCCAAGTACTCTTAAATACTGCTACCCTTTGTCAAATGGAAGATTCTAAGTATATGTATTCTGTTAAAGAGACCTATCGTAGACCTTGTGTTAGTACTTAACATTGATATAGAATCTTACCAAGGACCAACTGCTTTGGTAAAGTAGTATCTCATCCTATTGGCAAATGGGAGATTCCAGTTATCCAGAGTTTTTACTTGACCTGGGAAGTAATGCAATGGATAGTATAGTGAAACAAGAGCCTTTGCAAGAAATGGGCCCATCTTCAGCTTCGGTACCTATTCCTGGAGGACATAGGGGTGCCAGAGGAGTTTATGATCAATTTTCACCTTCGCCTTTGGCAACATCCTCTGCTTGGGGTACCAGACCTGACCACATGGAATCACCCTTCAAGATGGATCCTGACCAATTGGATAGTTCCTTTAAAATGGATGATGACGATATATTCCAAGTCGATAAAGCTGATCTTATTCAGGGTCCCACGCTTGCTGAACTCAATGCCAATGACGATACACTTCTTGGTGATTTGAACTTTGATGATTTACTACTACCTGAGGAAAGAATCCAACCATTGAGAGTAGGAACCGATCTCGGACCATCCGTAGGTTCCCTATTCAGTGGTGGACCTGGATTTGCACCAAGCAGTTTTCCGCAGTCTGGTTTAACGTATCGCAGCTGTCCACCATACACTAACTCTTCAGGATTTAACTTGAATGGGGGAATAAGCCTTATAGATACCTCAGAAGCAGTCAGTCCACCTGCATTTCCCAGTCCAGGAACAAGTAATGTTGCAGGTATACACTTTCATTAATAGAATTTAGATTTGCCAAGGTGGATAACAAATTGCCTCTGAAAAATATTACAAATCAGGATTAGATGGAATGAGTTTAACATTTAAATATTTATGCATTTTGTCAGCTAATAAGTACTATTTGCTTTTGCAAATACGGATGTCTTTATGATGACATTTTAATTTATTTCAATGTGATCAGTTTCTTTTTTTTAAATCTTTTCAGGAAGTTCAACGGCAAGCTCATCAACCTCACCTCATCCTGTGTCTAGGCCTTCAGGACAGTCCACACTTCACGATCTCCTTATGAGAAAAGGAGAAAATCCGTCAAGTCCAATGTGCAGTCAAATGGATACTACGGTCGCCTCTTCTGGAAAACCAAAAGTTTCGAGACTCTCCATGTCAGCACCAACGCAATCAATGGGTTTGGAGCAGATTTGGGCCCGTCGTGAACCTCGACAACACTTATTGAGCACCGGCAGCCTGGGCCTCGCAGAGGCTGGTTCTACCAGCAGTCTTAGCACAGGTGGTGCTTTGAGCCCAGATCCTCTCGGTCATCTGGATCCTCTTAGTCACGACGAGGGCTACGAAGACAGTGACGAGGACAGTGATCATTACGACGATTACAGCAGCGATAACGGTACCGGACTTATTAATATTATTTAATGATTACATTTTTTTAAGTATCCTTTAATAGTGAGAGTCTATTGCAACTTTACCGACAATAGTTTGAAATTATGATAACATATTTTGTATCATGGGGACGCCGTAAATTTTCATTGACTAACTGATAATCGTACAATAGAATAAGAAAAGTCTAAGAGAGATAAAATAACATGGTACCGAACCTATCTTAACTTATTGGAAAATGCGTGAAATTAATGAATGTATCAAAAGTTGTGTACGATAACACAATCTGTTTTAAAGTGTCAGTATAAAATATCATCGAATAAAACAATTAAACAGATTAGATAACGAAATATTGACGACATAAACGTAAACAAATTATTATACATACAGGTGATGCAACCGCGGTGTGTCTAATCAATGGTTTGCGTCAATTTACTCCTAACATGCGAACAATTCTAAACAGTACATCGTATGATACAGATAAAAGTTCACCTTTCTTACAGACTCCGGTGGCAGCGATGGAGAGGATCAGGGCGGCATGAAGGTCGGTGGGCCTGGCGGAGAATCAGCAAGAGAGAGGCACAGTAAGAAGGAGAGATTCTTTTGGCAATATAACGTACAGGCAAAGGGGCCTAAGGGACAGAGATTAGTCGCCAGAGCTCGCCTAGAGGATCCACATGTTCTGAACGAGGCAACCGATCCAGTCTTCAGTCCTCATTGCGCCCTGCGTGGTATTAAGCATAGTGGAAAAGCACGAAAGGGCGATGGAAATGACCTCACGCCAAATCCTCGAAAGCTGTTCAACATCGGACGGGAATTAGATAAGCTTTCTCGAGTTATAAACGACATGACCCCTGTCTCGGAGCTGCCATTCAATGTGCGACCTAAGACGCGTAAAGAGAAGAACAAATTGGCTTCGCGAGCATGTCGCCTCAAGAAAAAGGCTCAGCACGAAGCGAACAAGATTAAGTTACACGGTCTCGAACAAGAACACAGTTCAGTACATCGTTCCCTGTTAATTTTTTCTCATGATGGTCATTAGACAGATTTGATTTGGAATATCGAATGTTTTTTGCAGGGCGCCTCATTTACGGAATATCTCAAGCCAAGCAAACTCTAGCTGCCAAACTGACCGAGACCAATCTTGAGAATCAGGAGGAACTGACGCGTCAGATGGACAAATTTTGCAAATACGCTACGAGTGAGTATTTACGTTTCAATACTTTATCGAGCGAATGGCGTTTGCTGATTCCAGGAGCATCTTTTTAACTGCCTTTAACTTTCGATATATACAGAGGTGCGAATAGCAAGTCACTCGACAGACTTTGTCAACAAAGTGCTGGACAAAGTCAGGGCTGGTGTACCCGATGGTGGAATCGACGAGTTTTAGTGTTCAGTTGTTTTTGCCAATACGCTTAACGTTGAAGCGCATACAGAAACCGAAAGAGGAATCAACAGCAGCTATATTTTTATTATTATCAAAACGATTCAGAAAGTTACTGTTAATTTATTAATTAATATTAATGATTAGTAGAGTATAGTACGTTAGCTATAAATGCGTCTATGCTTGAGAGCTACGAAACCCTAATCAGTGCCGTCACTTATGTTAGATTCTGTGAATTTCTATCCGTTCGGTTAGCCGGTTAATCTCTCGTGAAGCAGTCTGTGGCATTCCTTACCAATCCTCATCCCATCCGTAACGTTGCAGATTTTATACAAATTCTCGTCTCTTTCCTCTTTCTTTTCTTCTTTCATCCTTTTTTGTAAATCCTTCTAATATCTCGAATTAAGATTTTTTATGTGTTTAATGGGTAATCGATATAAGCATTTCATGTACTCTTCCGTGCGGTGTAGAAAGCATAGGTGTAAGAAGTGGAGAGCGCGCTGTCGTACAATGGAATTATATTAGAAGAAACGAATTTCACGGGTTTATACGGAATTTCCAGAAACGAAAGGATTTATCAGTACCTAAACATTATTCGATCACTCAATATTTCTACAAAAGCATAAGAAGTAGAAAATTGCACAAAACTTTAGGGACGTCTGGCTCTCGGGTACGGAATAATAGTTGACTCGGTCTACCTCAGAATGAAACGCTATACCTGCATACAATGTTTAAACGGCAGAAAATTTACTATCGATTTATAAAGGATACATTATATACAATATATATAAGGATACATTATATACTTTAAATATAAAAAGATATTTTACTTTAGGAATACGTATTGGTACGTATGTAGCTCTGGTAGCTGTTACCAATTAACGTCGAAATATATCGCGTTTGATTTTTAAATATATTTTATTAATATATTCCGTATGTATGAATATACGATACTTACGATAAGAATACGACGATACATTGATAACACCGTATTGTTACCTTGTACTTTTTACATTAAGAAATGCGGAGCTAATATCAATTGAATTTGCCTAAATGTGTGGCTCAAATTCGAATAGGTTTTCATGGGAAAAAAAAAACGATTCGTTGAAGTAAGTCATTTCATCTGATTATTCGGATGTTTTTTTACTGTAATTATTCAATTTTAACTTTATTTCAAATTTAACAGATAAATGCTTGTTAGATCCAAGCTTCGTAATAACATCCCATTTCGAGATATCGTTTAGTCGCAAGAAGAAAGTAAAGTATAGACTATCTAAAAATATATATTTTTTTTTAACTATAAATTAGAGAGTGAAGTGTAATTGGAGAAACGTGTACTCCCTGCGCCTCTACAAATGTTTTTCAATTTGTTACCTGCTGGCTAAGCCTTTGATCAATGAACAAATGCCTAAGATATTGTTTTGATACAAGATCAATGTAAATACGAATTTCTTTTCTGCCCAAGCAAAAGGAAAGGAGAAGATATAGAGACGAAACGAAGGGAGTGTTGGGAGGACCTGATATGCGACGAGGTACAGTGTAAATAGTAGGAGAGTTGTTCGGTAATAATTTTGGACGAAGTTTTTCATTCGATATCAGAGATATTAGTTTTTTACAATATATTTTTATCTAAAAAGGGATCAGAAAATGGTACGGCAGCAGTAGTGAGGCAGGATCAATGTGTCTTTAAGCTGAAGCCTTTGTCATGTGTGATGGATAAAGGAGCAAGGAAAAAAGGAATCTTATCGGAGGTATTACGGTATTTTATTCACATTACATTCATATTAAATATTGTATAACATACACGTGTATAAATAAGTTATACACCATCTGTACAAGGCTACTATGTATAATAAAATTGTGATCAATTAAACGTGAGGTCAAACAAAACACTATACTGATGAGTAGTGAACCTTTATCTTAAAAGATATTGAATACCTAGTGTGGCATTTCAGCCCAGATAGCAAAAAAACAGATGGATTTGGTTTCATGACTGTCTTGTTAGCTTTGTGGTGTAACTATTTATTTCCTGATTGCTATACGTGTAGCTGCAAACGAACATCACGAGATGCGTTTAAATTTATGAAGCTGTGAACCACAGGTGCGCTAGGTCCACGCTAAATTGCGTTAAGCGATTAAAGTACTTTGATTGAATACATGGCTGATATATTTATCACAGTTTAATTCGGAGATATTGCTCGCTTTACTATTTCAAGTTCAAATACGCATGACTGCTTTATTCAGATGGCGTTATTGCCTAAATATTTTAGTTTGAAATATCTTCTTCAACCTGTGGCTACAGAAATATGATACAAATACTGGCTTAAAAAGACGAATGTAGAAGCTGATTAAATTAAAATGTGTGAAGTGACATAGTTGCGCGACTAGATAACTCTCACCTATCGTGTAATATTGATAAACAGCATTAAATGTATCGCGAATAATTGTGCAAAAGTAAATGCTCCTAATGTGTACTTCGTAAAATCTGCATTCTATCTATACGAAAGTCTCATAGCCTTGTTTAAAGAGAGCATGGTAAATGTCTCTTAAATTAATTATGCGCAACAGTTTCATTGTATTTTTTTTTGTTTTTTTATCACAAACAAAACTTAATGGGCGAATGACTATGATCTCAAAAATTTTGCTTACTCGATTTACTTTGGTACCAGACCAAAAACTAATAAATTAATATTCTATTATAAAATACATTGGTACTTCTAATTAGGCATCGTTATGTACATGGCGCAGGCAGCAATCTGATATATTTACAAAATCAAGACGTTCGTCGACAACACAGCTTCACAATGCCGTAAACCGATAAAACTGAGTGTAAAAGTATGCATACGCGTGATTCGATTTCAAAAAGGGACCCATTGACCCAACCGCTTTTCGTCTCCGCGAAATATCGGCTGTCAACACAATCAACGTAGTTGACAACGGTAAGAAGTATCCAAGAGTTCTATCGAATTTTTACCCTAGGGATATTCCCTGAATCCACGAGCTGAGATCGCTCGTATCCTCGCAGCTTAGACTGAGTGATTGTTTTTCATTTTTCTTAGAGTCAAGAAGCAGCTGAGCAGCCGTTCTGCCTGTGAGGTAAGCACCGTGAACGGTGCTGTAAAACGAGGAGTGCGTGTGCTCGCCCGCAAATGCTATCTTTACCTGGGAGGAATCATCTTGCTTAACTAAGGGTTCGGCAATGGTTTCAATATCTATTTGACTTGCGCCGACAGCCATGGCGGTGTAGGAACCTCGTGTAAACTGCTGAGAATGCCAAGATGTGCGTAAACATCCCTTTGGGACTGGAATGAACGGATCGTTCAGAAAACGTCTTAATATCGTAGTACATACTTCGGCTACATCGTTCGTAGATAGTTGTTCCATGTACTCTGCCGCTTTGCCCGATATCCAACCGAGAAGAAGCGTTTCCGTAACTTTGGTGAAGGAATAAATCTTTCGAAACCAAGTTTTACTGAGATCTCGCTTCTCTTCCTCTGTGATACTTCTGTCGTCCCAAAGAAGCATCACTTCTGACACTCCCGGATTTAGAAAAGGCCTCTCGTACTCGAGGAATATTTTATCTACAGTCCCAAACATCAACCTATCTATGGCTTCCAACTTGTAGGCTGGCAATGAAGGCTCGAATATCTCTCGTGCTCTCTCTTTGAGAACTCCTAGTGGTAGCGTGCATATGATCTGTTCTGCTGTTATTTTCTTCCCATTTTCGCAGTACACCTCCATTAGATCCTCATTTCCATTTGAACAGATAACTGTATGATTAGAATCGTCCGATTCATTTCCACCAAGATCAAAATTATCCCATCTGCGAAGAACGTTAAGTACTTTTTGACATATAATTATATATTTTATGGCGCCTATGTTGAAATATGTCATGCAGTTACCTGATCTTAGTAACAGCATGCCTTGTAAGAATACGATCTTTTGGTATGTGCTTTGCAATGGGTTCAAGAATGGCACTATATCCATCAGGAAGACTAATATTTCCACCTTGGAGTTCAGCATACGAGCCCATTTCAAGAAGATCTACCTCCTCCATACTGTCACAACCAGTAATACAAGTTTCCCGCTTAAGTAAACAATCAAAGAGCAATTCCCTAGCTCTTCTTTTGTCAGGTGAAAGTGATGATAGATAGAGATTAGCTTCAAGAGCTACATGTGCACCCACACTATTTATTCCCTCAGGTGGACTATACGCACTGAGGAAGTATTCTTCGCATCGTCTCAGAAAACACACGTAAGCTTCATAGATTTCTTGTAAAATAGGAAATGGTATCTGTTTGCCATCTTCCATTGCTGCTACCACCTTATGAGGTTTTGGAACGCTAATTATATCTATCAGTCCATTAGCCATGGCCAATTCAAATATGGGATTTCCTAATACTCCATGGATCCAATTAGCTCCTAATTCTACTTTTTCATTGCCTGTAAAGAATTAATTTAATACAAGTAAAAATACAAGAGACACATCTAGCAGATATGTCAATAAACTAGTCACACATCTACTAATTGACATCTACAGTAAACTGACGCTACGTAAGTTATGAGTACAGAGTATATTTTTATCGTGAAAAGAATGTACAAACATTTCAATAAATTACATAAAATTTTGTGAAAACAGAGATGCTAAGGTTAGTTTATCGTACCCATTTGCGCCGCAACAATTCGCCCGCCGATGCGACCTCGCCCCTCAACGATTAGAAAATCCGTTAGCCCATTTTTCAATAGATGATTAGCTGCCGAAAGACCCGCCATTCCAGCCCCAATAATTAATACTTTGCAGGAAATTCGGTCATCCACTGACTTGCCCGTGGATGCCGCCATATTTATTTCATATCACCTGTCAATCGAAAGACGACGCTAGCAAGAGTACAAAAAAGATTACATCTTTATCACTGAAACCGAGATTGAAACTTCTTAAAGATGACGGCGCATGATTAACGTAATATTAAACCCATTCATCACAAAGTTATCTAAAAATACCTAGACCAAAGTATAACAAGTAGCTTTCGAAAAGAAAGTAGAGCATGTACAGCTTGTAGCCACTGAGCAGAGCGTAACGCCATGAGTAACGCTGCAGTCCTATGAACACCTACGAGATATACCTATATGGCTCCAATAATAGTGTGTCGTGTGTAGGACTACTCATTAGACTTCGAACAGCTGTTCTGTCGAGGTTATGCGTACTCGATTCATTGCGTCAAGAGTTAGAGTACTAAGTATCGGAAAATGAATGTTGAAAATGAGAAGAGCGAGGAGGACCGCTCTGTGTTCTCAGAGAAGAGACACATAAGGTTTCGCGGTCCGACTAAGGCCGCTGCTGGTTCTCATGGAATCCGAGTCGAGAACGTGAATCTTGGCCAGAACGAACCGCAGCTGTCAGAAAATCCAAGTTCTTCCAAAAAGCATGGTATTATCGCTAGTATCTCTTCATTATTGTGCTGGTGTAGTTCACAATGGTCATTTCCAGATTTTTGTGCGTTTATAATTTTGTTCTCACTGTTGTTATGCCCTTAAAATTATTGAGATTCTGTATCTTCCACGCAAGAGTATCTCATTTTAATCTATTTGTAATTGCAAACTAGATATGAAAGTGTCTCTTTTATGTACAGCTCTGGACATCATTGCCAGTGTAGAATTCAATGTCTAAGTACAAATGTCTGAATCTGTAAGGTTTGCTATTCATACTTGATCTATTCCCTAGGGGTGACATTGGGCCAATTCCTTCGAAAGGAACTTACTCGAGGCTATCAGTTAGAGCATGACGAGGAACGCTATTCAGCTCGAAGAGAAAAAATTTATTCGTTCATGAAAATTCCAAGAGAGGTGGAAAAGTTCATGTCCTATGGATTTTTACAAGTGAGTCACTTGTTATAAACTGTTTTATTTATATTAAGGATAAACTTATGTGTAAGGAAAACCTTATATTTGTAGTGTGCAGATTCATTTTTATTTGTCTACACTTTCTTGCCTTTGAGGTTTCTTATGGCTCTATGGGCTGTAGCAGCAAGACCTATTATGCAGTGCTTGGGGTAAGTAGATAAGTAATTATTTATAAGACTAAGCATTTTCTAACTATGAGCATGATCCTTTTTCAATGTTTGAAGCGGAAAAAACACCCGTGGTAAAAAGGGAGAACGTCTATTAAGACCAGCTGAAATGTGTGATCTACTAAAAGGAGTAGTGGTAGTTGGCTGCTGGGTAGCAATTTGGAAAGTTGACACTTCAATGATGTATCACCTTGTGAAAAGTCAATCGGTTATCAAGCTGTATATTTTTTATAATATGCTAGAAGTTGGAGATCGTCTTTTCAGTGCCTTTGGTCAAGATACGATAGATGCACTTCTATGGACTGCTACGGAGCCTCGCTCACGTTCTCATTCGCATTCGCAGCATCTTGGCACATTGCCGCACTTACTATTCGCTCTCGCTTACGTCTGTATCCTTTTCATCCAATTCGGAATACCTCGTTTTTTGTTTATACGTTATTAACAAAATACTGTAGATACCTTAACTAATTTTTTAAAGTATTGCACAGTATATTAGTGTTATTTCAAGCTACTACACTGAACGTGGCGATAAATAGCAGTAATAAAGCCCTTCTGACCATTATGATGTCTAACAACGTGAGTATCGCATTAAACAAAGGCCTACTCCACAAACCACGTATTTACAGTTGCGTTTCCTTGCAGTTTGTGGAACTAAAGGGATCCGTATTCAAGAAGTTTGACAAGAACAACCTCTTTCAATTATCGTGCAATGACGTGAGGGAACGTTTTCATTTAACTATGTTACTGCTTGCCGTCAGTCTGCAGACGATGAAGGAGTACGCATGGCGCGCTGATCGTCTAGCTGTACTATTGCCTGATTGTATTTTCTTGCTAATAGCAGAAGTTCTCGTAGATTGGGTATATATGAGCACGAATATCTAGAAAATATTTAGAAACTAGCGAGAACAAGGTGCATTTGACATGTTTTCTTCCATGCAGGTGAAGCATGCTTTCATAACTCGTTTCAACGAATTACGCTCTACCGTATACCGAGATTATACAGTAAGTCTGGCTTACGATATGGCGCAGACGAGACAAGAAATGGCATTTTCGGATCCGTCGGACCTCGTGGCAAGACGTATGGGCTTTATTCCTCTTCCCCTGGGTGTAGCGATGGGCCGCGTTATCAGTACTACTTTGACACCAGCAGCCAGACCCGCCAATATTATCCTTTTTGTGCTAGCGTACTTGATTCTCGTAGCACTTCGTATATTGAACAGTTTAATTATCTTAGGTAAAGCCTGCGATTTGATTTCATTGCATACGAACGCAAATCGGTCAAAAAGCACTTCAAAACCGACACCTCGTGATACAGAAACGAACAATCTGGATTCGAATAATCCGAGTCTTACTATGGCTATCTTCTCCAATAGCGCAGTCAGTCTCAATAACGTATGCTTGAACGATGCACTGTTAAAGACAGAACAGTCAGCGAAAGCGGAAAAAGCTCCTGAAAGTACGGATGATATTAGCACAGCTCCAAAGAATGTATCGAGGGCTGGCAGCGAGCCGCTTCTTCCCCAATGACAAAAATTTGTGACATGAATAATTTCTCATAGATCTTTTTTTTATTTATGAACTGTAAATAACGATATGCTGTAAATATACCGAGTTATTCAGCCCAAATACGCCACATGAATTTAGCGCCCATTTGATTCTTACGGTGAAGTCAAGTTTTTGGGTGGTGCGTATGGGCTGAACAACCGTTTATTGCTCTTAGCGTGGGATATATGTATGTATGTACACACTACAAGAATAATAGAACGGATGACAGTGCTGTGATGCGGAAATAAACTGCATATAATTTACTTTTTGTGCGTTATATACGATATTAAGATTTCTTGTAACAAATCTTTGGTATATGAATATGCATAGATGGGCAATATATCTTGCCGCATAAGCTTGGTGCTATAACAATTAGGGTAAGTAAAATAAAATAATTTCAAAGGTATTCGAACTTTTTTATTATTTAAGTTTTAATGGGAAAGGGACAATAGGTTAATCTTCTACCGAGTCAAGTATTCGAATAATATAAAATGAACTGATCGTATTATAATGTATAAATGGAAAGCATATGATTGTGCAACAGTCTTTTATTTGTGCCAATAATATTACGAAACAGTTTCAAAATACTGGGGTCTTTCGATTTCTCCTATTGGCAGTAAGCGTTCAGTTCAGGAGATGACGGGAAAGGACGAGCAACATGGCTGATCAGCTTTACGAGGGCATCGGGTGAATTTTTAAATTGGTTATTCTCTACTGGTACGAAAAGATCGAACATTTAACAAAGAAAGTAAGTCATTCTCTATAATAATTTTCTTTCAAATTGTTGTGAGTTTATTGTGGCAAAGCTGTGAAGTGTAACGAAAGAATGTTTTTCCGAAAAGTTTGCTTTTTCGGTTGTCGATCTTGTTTCCGAGATGTGTCACTTTTACTTTCGACGAGCAGCTGTTTTTATGCAAAGCAATACTCTGCAGATAAAATAATTAACGACATTACTTGCGCTTGGAACTAGAAAGTAGTAAGATTGTGAAAAATCTACATTTTCGCGGTTGCGCGATATAACGCCATATTTTCGTTAGTGTCATAATATTTTTGCCTGAGACTGACGTCATACATGCATACAGCTGTCAAATGATCACGTGTTCTGTCTATAGGACATTGAATTTAATTTAAATCGAGATGTGATCTTTTAGGACTACGAGGTTTCTCAAGGTCAATTCAACTTTTTAGTTTAATGATATTCATGGGAGTACGAGCTATTTTTATATTAGGTTCTAGCTTCCTGAAGTTCGGCTACTTATTGTATAATGAATTTCAATGGGCTGAAAATATAACAATTATACCCTGATGTATACTTGGTGTGCACTAATCATTGTTATAAATACACTTTTTTTTTATTAACGTCTCTTAATTTTGCATACACTAAATAAAGATTCAGTAATTAAACCTGTATAATTTCCAGCGCTTTACTGGCTTCTAAGAAGAACTCTAACTCTGGTTAGATTCTATATGTAGCAACCTACATGTAAAAGAGATGTGTTGTGTAACCGATTTGGCAATAGAATTTGTATATATTACGTATGAACTGGTTTAGCTATTTTCACGGGAACGCTTCATTGTTAGATGGCTAATATAATTAATCTCCTACCTTCTAAGTTTCTCAATTGTAAACATAGGTTTATCGCAGGAAAGTTGAGTATAAAGTATAATTAATCTTTTTTCTCACCTCCTCTATTACCTTATATGGGTATTTGTACCGATATATTTATTCATGCCATATTGATATTATTAGTATATTGCGCAACCAAAAAATTATTGTTATGTTTAACGCTTATTATTTTACGATGATCATTTTGAGTTTGAATGATTTTTTTTAACACAGATATGGAGTCCTTTCTTGGTTTATTCGATCCGGGTGAAGATAAGAGGAGCAGCAAGGAGAGATGGGATGATTTTGAGAATGAAGGAAACGGATTATCCGATTACGAGAGTTCCAGTTTAGACGATGATCACGAACATAGTAATTCCGACGGGGAGGAGAAACTTCCGCCCGAACCAGAACAAGGCAATATCGAGTACAAATTGAAGCTCGTCAATCCTTCCAGTCAGAGATTCGAACATCTTGTAACGCAGATGAAATGGAGACTTCGTGAAGGTCATGGGGAAGCCATATATCAAATTGGTATACTAAATATAGATCTTGTTCTTCATGCCTCCGGAGGCTTCTTAATATTTTGCTACATCTTAAGCCGAAAGTAACTACAGTTATACATAATTTAGGCGTCGAAGATAATGGAACTCTTGCTGGTTTATCGAGAGAGGAGATGAAAGCCTCCCTGAAAACCTTAAGAGATATGGCAGCGAGACTGGGCGCCACTACTAACGTTCTTCGCGAAAGATTTGCCAATGCTAAAGGTAAGGGCGGCCAGACAAAGAAGCATGATGAAAAGGAGAGAAGGGTGGCCGAAGTTCTGGTGCGAAAATTGCGGAAGGATGACCGAGAGGATCAGGAGAGCGTGGTGGAATTGAGATTAGCTGTAACGGGTGGACAAGACGCTGGAAAGTCAACCCTCTTAGGTGAGAGGATTAGCAGGCAACACTTCAGGTAGAGAAATATACCTAAAGCGCGTTGCACGCTGTATTCCGAAAAAATACGGCTTGAAGTTTTAGTTAGGACGATAAGCTATGACTTTTATACTATTAATCAACTCTTATTCTCATACTCAGGTGTGTTGACGCAAGGCGAGCTCGATAATGGTAGAGGTAGAGCTAGACTGAACATGTTTCGTCATCTTCATGAAATCAGAACCGGACGTACCTCTTCGATTTCGCATGAAATCATCGGCTTTGATAATGAGGGTCATGTACTAAATTATGCGGAGATGAACACGGCCGAAGAGATATGCGAGCACGCCTCAAAGGTCGTCACGTTCATAGATCTGGCTGGACATCGAAAGTACCTCCGAACCACCTTGCTGGGACTCACAGGTGTGCAGAGATTCATGACTTATTTCTCTTGATCGAGACAAGAAAAACCTTGGGAAGTTTAGTGAGAGATTGTCCTTCCTTTTTCAGGATATTCACCACATCATGTTATGCTGGTCATAGCCCCTCCGATGAACGAAGCATCGCAGGAACATTTGGCACTTTGCTTGGCATTGCGACTACCATTCTTTGTTGTTATGACGAAGACTGATCTGGGTCTCTGTGACCCGCGCGAGGCTTTGACCCAACTGAAAAGCGCAGTTCAGGCGCATGGCTGTAGCAAACAGCTTATACTGTATAGCAATATCAATGAAGTGTCAAGAGGTTATGAGTTAGACGCGATACCAGTATTTGCCGTTAGCTGCGTAACCGGGGAAGGGTTAGAGGGATTAACTAGATTCATCAGAGACTTGCCACCGTCCGAGCCTACTCCTTCGGATTCAGATCCCGAATCCTGCTTATTCCAAATCGACGAAACATTTAGGTACGCTGCTTATATATTTTACCCCCCCCCCCCCACACAGTTCCTGCTATTCGTTAAAGTAGTAGCTATGCTCCATAGTTTTTTTCCCCCCCCCCCCCACACAGTTCCTGCTATTCGTTAAAGTAGTAGCTATGCTCCATAGTTTTTTTTAAATTTCTGTACTAGAGTGGAAATGAACAATTATATTCTCCCGTGACAATCGCATGTATTTCAGAGTGGCAGGGCTAACGGAACCGGTGCTCGGTGGATTGCTCGTAAGGGGGGCAATTGCACCAGGAACGCGGTTGCTAGTGGGTCCTCTACCAGACGGAGAATTTAGTCCAGTGAAAGTAGCTAGCTTGCACCGCAATAAAGCACCTTGCTGTCTCGTACGAGCATCGCAGAGTGCCAGTTTAACACTAGTACCTTCCACAAACAGAGATCCGCCATTGCCTCATCTTCGTCCTGGCATGGTTCTGGTTTCTCTTAGAGATCATCCCCACGCGACACTCTTCTTCCAGGTAAGACTAGTGATTACGAGAATTCAATATACCAACAACAACGTTCTAGAGTTTCTAGACGTGTGTGGTTGTTGTATGTTTGTTTATATTTCAGGCTACCGTGCTAGTTGTATATCACGCTACTGCAATGTATCCGGGTTTTCAAGCAACGGTGCACGTAGGAAATGTGCGGCAGACTTGTATAATCGAAGGAATAATGGACCTGAAAGAGGCAGGCTTACAGACAAACGATACAGCCTCTGTTTTGTTTCGATTCGTAAGTCATCCCGAATATCTTCACGTGGGAATGCGTCTCTTGTTCAGAGAGGGTCGTACCAAAGGAATTGGAAAAATTACTCAAATATTTCCTCTACTAGGATCACAAAGTAGTTCGCAATAAATCAAATACTATTTTATGTCTTGAGTTAAGGTTTCGAAGCACTGATTGAACAGAATTACGAGACTCTAATCAATTCTTTTATTTCCCGTTATTTTGATTTACTTGATCATCACAGGTATCCTTTCGAGTAGAATGCTCTAGGAATATTGTAAGAACATGTACTTGTTTTATTATTTGATATCAGGATTAGTGTCTCGTGATTCAGAAGGACGATTATGTGCCGAATCCATTATGGTTTCCAAGCTGCCGTGCTTAATTTTTATTAGAATATCAAGTTTTTTGAGTGTAACTCCGACGTTGTTCTAATAAGTTGACACAAGTCGCTTTAATGTTTACGATATGAACAAATATCCTTCAATCAGATTGAGTCCAATAATAGCCGTTTAAGTATCTTTTATTTCCCTGGGTTTGTATATAACATGTGCTGTACTTAGAGCGATAAGTATTACCAGCTCCTGTTAGCATATCAGTGCTAAATAATAGAAGCGTCTCTCATTGTCTGGAAGAAATGTTTCAGGTTTGCTAGCGATATCAAAATATTTTATGCTAGCCAGTTTAATGGTTTGATGTTAATGTCTGATAAGTAGACAGTAGAAAGTATTTTTTTTATTAAAAGACTATTAATTTACATAGTGTTTCTTTACCCTGTACAATTCGTCTTTCCGGTTGGATGGCATGAAATTATGCTAAATCCCACACTGACTCCTTTAGCTCATAAGTTTATATAATATTCTTCTCGGTTAAAGATGCGCATTGCTATCAAAGTAAAAAAATCATTCATGGCCATGTCATACCCATTAATTAGGCAGAGTCGTTTGAACAATTATATTTCTCCGTCATTAAGAATGGTTGCGTTACTCTTACGTAAACAAAAATTACATTCGTCGTCCCTGTAAGAATTTGTTTCTACCATTCAGATGGTTGTCACTGTCGCGGATATGTTTTGCATATGTTTGCCTTAGTCACTTATGAAACTTCTCCATACGAGCAATCCTAATATTTCGCTACTCACGTCCACTTCATCTTATGTGCACATTAGTCTCACTTGAGTCTATGGTCCAAGAGGCTCTCGTCGTGACGGTCGCATTATGTTCAGTCACTAGCCTGATCCGGCCAGACTTGCGCCTCGATCCAGTCTAAATATGAGTAAACCGAGGTGTAAACTCCTGGAGAAGGTCCACCACAGGCTTGTCCAAAGGATGTGACACCAACAACTGTCTGACTATTTTCGGACAACATCAGAAGTGGTCCCCCACTGTCGCCTTGACAAGCGTCGGCGCGTCTTGTTGTGTTAGAATCCAGGGCGCAGATCATACCATCATCCAGGCCGCGGGGCAGCCTTCTGAATTCTGTGTATAGTTTCGAACATGAATCCTTCTCTATGAAACTGTGAAGCAAACATTTTTATGACAGAACACTGAAAGTAGCAGGAATGTAGATTGTTAAAAACATTGAAATTTTATAAAGAAACACACCGTAGTCCGGCTGCCTTCAGTAACTTAGTGGACCCGTCGCCAAAGCTGCTGGTCGCACCCCAACCCGTTACTACCAGTGAGGCATTCGCAGGTATTTGGCTAGTTGTTAATGATTTTGTTTGAAGGCATATGGGTTTTACGGTATTCGTCAAACGTGCCGGTGTCTTTAGCTTGACGATAGCTATGTCATTGTAGTTGACACTTCGTTTGTAACTCGGATGTGGGATGATGCTGCTTATAGGAATCCGTTGTGGAATTGGATCGCTACTCTCTAGATCTTCGCTTCCAAGACGTACCTGTGAAAGTTAGGTAAAGATGACAAAACATATTAATAACTTTAAGTACGGAATTTCTTTGTAGACAGGTTTACCTCGATCGGAACTTGATCGTTTATGTTGCTAACGCAATGCGCGGCTGTGAGCACATGCTGGGATGATATCAACGTACCACCGCAGGAATACTTGATAACTCCTTCAGTATCTTCATCAGTCTCCAGGTATCCAAGGGCGGCTAGGTATGGGAATTCACCCGGTGATGTTGCCTCACCACCCAAAATATGGAAGACCACTCCTTCCGACGTTACTTCGTTGTAATATTGCTGACAAGCTGAATTCGGAAAAATAAAAATTATATTATCTAAATAATTAATGAGTGACGATAGAATAGAAATCGTGTGTAAATGACATTGTTGTTACAGTTTTTCGTAGTACAGCATTTCCTCCATCCTTATTCACTACCATTACGAAGAGAATGAGCATTTAAACGATAGCCGACGATTGACGAATATAGTGTGCATACCTACATCTGCTGGTCTGCTACCGATCTTGTCAGAAATATTCAGCGAGCAGCAGACTATTTCCGTGAAATCTGTAAAACCGCAGCGACCGGAAGAATCAGAGCTCCTTCTACCTGCTTGGACCTCATTGAGTCTCGGGGCGCAATCGGGCAGCTTCTTGCAGACTCCAATAGCACCGTCTTCCAGAGGACAAGGACTTCCTTCTGCGTAAAAGAAAATCTTCGTAGATGGACATCATCACTCTATGGAGTGATCAGAGCGTGTTGCGCGAGAATCATTTACATTGATTATCGTGCTCCCTTTCTCTCTCTTTCTCTTACCGTACGGAAGCTAGCGAATCAGCCTGACTCATTTATTATACTATCGGCTATTACTCGACAGAATAATGACTGTAAGATGTTTGAGACACGTGTTCAATTGCAAGTGTAGGGTTATACGTATTTATAAGTTCTTGTGTGCGTTTCGTTATTTGTTGATTCATGGATGTCACTATATACTACATATACAGTTATGGAAACCGGATTTCAGATACGAGCTGCGTCCGTTTACGCCATTTGAAATGACAGCTAATTCGATGGTATGCTACTGAGAAACCCCCTGAGGGTATGACGACAATTACTTATCATAGAGTTTATTGTTTCCAGCCTGACGTGTCCTTGATAATTCTCTTTTTATCATAACCCGTATGCGCTGTCAAATATAGCATATCTCTAATGAAACATACCAGGATGGACACGTGTTCTCTAGTCTTGTATAGAGTTTTAAATATCTCCTAAAGTAGAGGTAAACATATTTTTCATTTTGCTGCCATTTGTGTGCTTCTACGTATAATCGAGAACTTCTCTTGTCATAATGATGAATAATTGGTATCCGCCTAGTATAATTCCAACTGATTATAGCACATCAAGTGCAATCGGGGTTATCATAAAATGTATGTTTTTTTTTTTTCAAGGGAAAATCTTGTCTCTGGGTAATCGTATAAAGAAAAATTCGAGAAAAAAAAATATATATATTGAATATTGAAAAGGAAAGTCCAAATTGGAAAAGTGTATACGCATACTTCTATTAACGTTCTCATGACTTACGAACCGGTCAATTTTGTCACGCTTCTTTACATAGGTGTAAAAAAAGAGATAGCAAATTTAACCTTTGATATTTTTAGTTAGAAGAACAGGTTTGAATGAGAGGTACACGAGGCAAGATATTAATAATCTTAAAAGTAATATCATAGAAAGAATTTAAAATTAGCAAAGGAATGGTTACCGCAATGAATGTCTAGAAGAAGCGTTAGGAGAGTAAAAGCTAACTGTAAAAAGTAGCCATTCGAAGAGATTCAGAAATGGTGTAATTACCATAAATTTCATCGATGAAGGGGAAACTGCTAACGAGGCAACCAAGGAATGCAAGAGCGACGCAAAGTAAGGCCCCAGCAGCCATTTTTGTTCCGCTTCTTGCACACTATTTGTCGTATTTGTCTTGTTCCACTGTAGGCAAAAAAATTTGATAATAAAATTCCAAGAGACCGCAAAGTACGCGGTCCACTGCGCAACTGACGAAAATATGCTCATCTCTCGCCTTTATGTCCAGATTATGTCGGCACTGACACAGGCACACGAAGCGTCCTTTCTATGTGGTTGAGAGACGTAAGTGTGCCGATGCCCGCGTACGTACAACGACGCCTTGCTTCGGTATGGCTGCTATGGGTAAACAGAGCGTGCGAGTGTTGGAGAAAAATCCCCTACAAGTTGCAATATATGTATATTTAGGGCCTCACGCTGCACGCACTTTCATCTATTATTAGGTGAACTCATGGCGGTCGGAGTAAGCCAAGTCCCCGCATGGAACGTTCTGCACGTTTCCTTTGAGTGACCGATGTAGGTACCTCTTGCAAGATTTATATTTGCATACTGTCACATGGACGCAATCTTTGACGCAAATGAAAGTCCTGCCGGATTCGATGACATTCGTATAGTTAAGTGTAACAGGGAGAACAGGATATTGGAGACTTTTTTTTTACCTTGGGATCCTTCTTTCAAGAGAACGTTTAAATCGAAAGAACTGCGAGTTCCTTTGTGGTTTATGGAAGATACAACTAGTATGTTGGTACGTTGTGAATTATTGCAATATATTATGTATAAAATGACAATGTATAACAATGAACAAATATAGGTTTAGCTTCGGTATAAAATGCTAACGCGCCGGTTGGTCCCTAACTAATAGTCAATAATTACAATAAGCTTTTAAAAAAATAAAATGGCACTATTGTCATTTTTTTCTTATCGCAACTTTATGCTCAGTGTATCGTTATTAAAAATTCTCTGAATATATATGTAATAAATTTATGTAACACATAGTAACAAAAATTTGGTTATCTGATATCTATTATCATAGTGAGCAGACTAGCGGTCATTACATTCCATAAATAATTCTATTTCTTGTTCGCTTTCATACACACAGGCAGACATATGTGCACCTATGGAAAATCCTGCCCGTTTGTTTTCTTTCCTCCTTCATTTCTCTTTCTTTTTCTTTTCGGCCACTCCTACGTCATACATTGCGGTACGCAATACATGTGCCATCGTGCTGTCAATATGTGCGCGATTGGTTGACAATTCGAATAAATAATGCTAATGGTCTCTTTGGTATGAATAATGAAATGGTAATTATAACTTGACAAGTACGATTAACAACCCTTAACCCTTTCGACGAAATAGTATGTACCCTACTTTGTTCACCGCGAAAAATAATTCTCACGTTGCGTAAATTTTAACATTACGCTTCCTGGCGAAATCAAATGAATCTTACGCATGGCTATGCGACTGTATATCAGCCTTCATCAAGAACACTTAACTATACAAGAGAGACTTGAGCGTCAGCGGCAAAAAAAAACTTTTGCACCTAGCTCGAAATTGTGTCTTCTTTTATCTAATTACACTACGTATATATTTGTGGCGTTTCACTTCCCATGAGAAGACGAGAGTAGATATTATCTAAACTTGTAGTAATAAGTGTTGGCAGATTTGTATTATGAAACGGATTCATCTGATGATTCAGTAGTTCCCGTCCTTCAGGATAATCAGAAGATAAGTATTCGAGAAGCGGCTCGAATATCAATTAAAAGAAAGCTAATGGAATGAATTATTGTAACACGCGACAATTATTTCGAGTATTATGCATATCGTATAGCGATTATAATTCATATTAAATAACGTAACGGTATTACTGGGGAGAGGTCATGGGCGGAGAACAGCTGGGAAGCAGCGCGTGTCTAAAAGTGATGTGCTATACTTGTCTTTTTCATCTTGTAATTTTATAATACTTTACGTCTGGCTACTCAAGTGGAACTCTTAACAGTTGTCCCTCCTCATACTCGTTACATGAGCTTTAGTTACTCGACGAGACACTCGAGTAACTCCTATATTAACATAATAAGTAAACAACGTTACTAGTTTTAAAATCATCATTAGGTACGCCCGTGTGTCGTTTTGCAAAACAAACAAAATTCTTGAAAACAGAAAGCTATAGAACTTTAGGAAGTTGAAATACTTGGGAGCATTCTAAACGAGTGGTTTCCTCAAACAAGGTCTACCTATTTAAAAGGCCGAATGTTTCTTTTTCACATGGAATGAGTCAATGAGTCGTCGTTTGCAATGGATCTATGAAGGGGCTCCTTAATTTATGCAACGGATGAATCTTCCGCCGAGCCATCCACATCGCCAGCGGTAGCAGCCAGCAAGACCTGGTTCAAGCTATGTGGTGGCCTTTTTGGTTTTGGCGGTGGTGTTGGTGGTACACTATGATTGTCTACGTTCTCCGATGGCGTAGGAAGCTTACTCTTAATTCGGTAGCTAATCGAACGGTTCACGCTGTTGAACCTGCTCGTTTGCCGATAAGGCACAGGTGTATCTTCTGGTAGATTACAGTAATCAGCTTCGCGAGTTTTCACTGGTAACGGAGGTGGTGGATCATCCTCGGAAGCTGTACTGTCTGTCGTTCCGACGCTGTCCCTGTTGCCTTTTCCCAAGCCACTTGGCTCCATCCCGTTATTTGAATTTCTCAGAAAATGCTGAGATTGTCCAGACCAGCGACTGCTTATTCTGCGCTCCTTATCGGCTTCGGGTCTCAGTGGTCGCTTTGGCGTTAACTGTGAAGGATCATGACATATTTTTTTAGCACCGCAGAGAAAGTGTATCGTGAACCAAGTATGATCCTACCTCTTGGCGAAGTTCAAATATTGGCGTGGGTAAGGGGCTGGCGGAAGAGACGATCACAGACGAAGAATTCTGGATCAATTCCGGAGTTGTGTACCACTGACTGGTAGGCTGGTCATTCTTGTTCGTCGAGGAGGAGTCACTTTTGCGTGAACTTCTGCGTTTCGAGTCCTTTTTCTTATTTGTCCCAGGACTTGGATTGCCCAGAGCTTTTTGCAGCGATGCCGATGATAATATGTGGGAACGCACCGAGCTGTTTCTGTACGTCACATGAGTTAGTCATTTTTCTGAAGGAGATGCTTAACTGTCATAAGTTAAGATTAACACGCGAATTAGCGAGCATATATTTTTTAATCATACAATAAAGCCTTGAGTGTTTCTTATTTAATTTTTTGCGCGTTAATCTTGACTTAAAGAAGTTGGCAGTAGTCATGCTGCACTGATAGTTACCTAAGGTGTCCTATCGTAGGCTTAGAAGATATTAAGAGGGGACCAGAAGTTATTCTCGGGTAGGTGTGATAAGAGTGTAGTAATAGAAATATGTTACAATTTGTTAACGTAAATAAAAGTAATAAATACTTAAATCACCAATGGGTAACGAAACGATTGAAATTGTCACATGACGCATTTAGAGCCATCTAATACAACATGTCAAATGTGAGCTGCATGCCGTAATCGTTTTAGAAAATACAATTGCTCTTTGAGGCTCATTCTGAATACATTTGAATGACATCAAAATTACAGAATAATTTGTTTTACTTAAGATTTGTTTTGTGATAAATGGATGGCATCTTATCAGATTGTAGTATAATCATTGTAGGACACATTCAGGATTTTCAATGTGATAATGGAAATAAACATGTGCTTGTTAGTTAATGTACATGAATTGAAGCGGCATTATTTAAACATTGGCAGTTAAACGATGGACAAACAAATAGTATTTAGTATGAAAATAAAGCTATGTACGAAGGAAGGACAAAAGTGCATTGTGCGAGATTTTATCTGGCCCAGCAGCAATACCCCTGCAATCATATTCCATTCTTTTCAATTATCCAACTACTGTTAACTGACAGCATTCAATTCTCAATCACACGGCACACAATCAACTCTTCGAGTAGTGCACAATGAAGTGCTGAATCTCAAGAAATGAATATTTCATTTAATTTCTTCTTTTTGTTTCAAGTTTCTCCTGTGTAGGGAGTCTTAAGAATATCATTAAAATCGATCGTACGAAAATGTTGAAATTCCTCAGGCAACACGGAGTGGCAAAACTGAGGAATATTTCAGCAAGATGCGGGAACTACCGAATGACTAACAACATTGATTATTTTTTCCTGCATATTACTAATAAAACCTTTGGCAACGACTTTATACCAATGACTGTTCGATCTCGATTCGTTTTTTTTTCTTTCTTTTCATAAGCATTTTGTGAACTAGCACTCCGTATTTCTTTGGGACACTTCGATTGTGTTACCTTGTAACGCTGACGTTTGGAACACCAGACATGGGTGAGCTGTTGTTAAAATTGAAGGATGCGAGTGACTTGAGGGTTGCCACTTGTGATCTTGTGAGTGAAGATACTCTGGAGCGTGACCCGCAGCTGAATGACAGAATCGCAAAACGGCTATATGACACTTTTCTAATCTACAATGTCGAGGCCAAATTAAAAAAAAGACTACGTTCTAATTGCAAATTATGAAATTTCATATCGTTTGAGGTAATAATTTCAGTGTCAGACAACTCAACCGGATTCATTGATCTCGTTAGAGAGGTGATGTCGCGTTCAAATAAATATATCTTTTTCGACACCTCCGCGCGAAAGAAAAAAAAAGTATTACTATTTTCGATTCCTCTATAATCTTGAGCACCTAGTGTGGACGTTAATTACGTGAAAGCATGATCGACGTATCACTTGTATGATTCTCAATGTTGATTAGTTTACAATAACCAGAATTGAGCAGCTGAACCCGGCAATGATAGCATTACACGTGACTCCATGTAGAAATTCCTTACAACCAAAATTAGTGACCAGCGCCTCATATTCCCATTGCCTATTAGCATTCGATCAACAGCAAAATTACGTTGGAATAAAGACAAAAATAAGTAGAATAGTAAAATGACTTACTCTGTGCTGATTACACTGGTTTCGGACAGTCGATGTGACTCCCCTCTGGAAGTTGGATGTTTTCGCATGGTGACAGTTTGAGTTAAAGTCTCAATTTGCAGATCGCAAGTCTACGTATTGAAGAAATAATTTCAAATAAATCCGTGTATCAACCATCCTTCCAAAAAGTTTGTATCTCTTGCACGTACCCTTTTACCGTACTTGGCTTCTACATGACTTCTCATGGAATTAAAACATTGTTCTAAGTGCTGATGGAAAGGTAAAAGTTCAGGCGGCGCCCTCACTTTATGCACTTGCACTCCAACGCCTAAGAGGGGTATCTGCTCGGCAATGAGACCTTCTAATTTTAAAAGATCAGAGCTTTCATCCGGATGATCGTTTCGATAATCAGGATTAAGAAAGGCTTTCTCGTAGTTATCAACGCCGCCCATCACCGCTGGATCCAGTACACCGTTAAGTTTCATACTCAATGGATTTAACGGCAGAGTGGAATCAGCCCTAAGGATACGTAAAAACAGAAGGTTTATATTTGACAAATAATTATATCTGTCAATGCGATTTCGTCTAAAAATACAGTACTTGTGCGCGATGATAAGATCCCTCAGGGCAGTATTCGTGGATTCCATTGTTTCGATAGCGTTGCGCAGAGGACTGACTAGATACGTCTCACTGGACGTCACTGGAAACCATCTCAATATTCCAGGTAAAGGATGACTCGTGACAAGGACTGTTCTTTCCAGCCATAGCGAAGCAAATTCATTACTGACGCCGCCGCCACTGATAGGCTCCTTGTCATTGTTCCCAGGTTGCGATGAGTTCACTAGTGTATTCTTTCTAGGTGCTGGTCGCGAAAATCGGAACCGTTGTATGTCGTTAACACGGTGATACCTGACAATATATTGAGCAACAACCTGTACTTCGTCCAAGTTAATAACGTGTCACTAGAATAAAAAAGCACAGCGCCTACATAATTTCCATACCTCAATACAGCTTCGGCAGTGACAGGTTTACCACTAAGGCGATGCCTCTTCTCATCCATTAATGGGTCCACTTTATTAATTTGAACATATTGGCTATTTGAATCGAGTATATCTTCACTGGGCGGAGATAATTCTTTCATCTGCTCAGCATTCGGCAATTGATTCAGAGTTCGCGAACAAAAGTCGCTGCGTCGTTCGTATTCCTTTCCACGATAAACGAATACCTGTGAAACATTATTTCTACATTGTAGAAATAAAAAATTGTGACTAACGTTATACTACAGCAATGAAAGTATGATGTACTTTATTCTGAAGAAACGGTGGATGCCCACGACCATAATAGGCAACTCGAAAATATTCTGGTTCTGGTCTAAGTTGTTTAACTATGGAATCATAAAATTTAGCCATTCGTCTGAGTAGAATGGACAACTGCGAATAATCAAAAGTCTCTTCTTCGTATTGTGTTGCCAATTCCTTACATACGCTGAGCGCGCATTCCCACATCTTTCCTTTATCGAAATATTCAATCATGTCGTTGTACAATGCTTCTTTTAATTCTCGATGCGTTTGACAGTGTGGATACCTTCGAGTGATAATATGACATTATACAATATTTCAGACAATTTTTTCAAGCAACATTGATCCAATTTACCTATGCGATCTCAGTAAAGGTGGGAGAGGTTGATCACTCCATGCCAGCAATTGGCTATGTAATTTTAATGAATACGCAGCTTCCGTATAATTGTCACACTCTAAATGCAACTCGCAGAGCTTATTCACGTATCTGTTTATAACGAGTCAAAGGTTTATCGAAGAAGTTTTCAAAAAATCTAATAATTCTCTGTAAGAATATCAACTTACCTAATGTACATTTCCTTCCTATTAATTTCCGAGTAAAATTCCAGTAAATTAACAGTGCACAACATGCGGTGCTCTTGTGATTCCGCATGAATTATGTCACGATATTGCAAAAGCCTCTCCATCAATTTAGCTACAGTGTCTACAAAGCGCAAACCCTGATCGCGCATCGTCGAATGATTTTCGCAAAGTGCTCCCATAACTTGTACCCATAAAACACGAAAATGTTCGTCCCCTCGACCACCTTCAACCTAGAAGAATTCAATGGAAAAATAAAGATTACTTTACTGGCAGTACAATAAAGAAATATTGAATAATTATGAGAGTTACCAAGATATCGAGTTGCGCAATCATCTCATTCTCGTATTCCATAAAGTTTGCCTTAATATGAGCAGGATCTCGCTTCGTATCGCCATAACCTTCGACAATGCGTGAACTGTAAAATTCACATTGCATCATGTCAAAGAATATTGGTATTGTAGCCTTCCTGAGTTCGCTTTCAGGTATCAATGTCATCTCCAATATGGCACCAACCAAGGCAGGTACGAATAAAATCTTGTGCTGTCCCAGATTGAACCACATTGATCGGATTTCAAAAGCGGTTTCCCTGGAGGAGAGACAAAGAACGACAACAAAGATAAACGCAATTGCTGCAAGAATTACGAACAGATCATTTAACGAATTAGACGTAAAGGCGTGCGTACCTCCGCATATCGTTGTAGCGCATAACAATGCGATTACGCTTTGTTGGACTGAATGTATCTAATTGAAGTGTTGGCTGAGTCAGAAAAGCTATTGCGCAGTGGAAGAAATTGGACCAAGCCTGTTGCTCGAAATCTTTGAAAAAATAGTCTCTTATCGTGGCTGAGAAGAAACGCAGGGACTTTAGGATTACACTGTTCTGCAGCATAATCATTTCACACCAGTCACCGGGAAAGACACTTCTTGAGACTAAGTCTTTAAATACCAGCAAAATTTCCATAAGAAAATCGAGTAAGTCGAAACGTGTGCCGAAATGATTGATGTACACCTCGTAGTGATGCTGTGTCATTTGCCTGAATAAAATGGTTATCATTTGTTAACAATGTTACAGATCAATTAGTCGCTCTTCTTACCCTTAGTACTAGAGCACGTACCTGAATATGGCAAGCATGACCGAAACCAAATTTCCTACCAAAGGATTTTCTCTATCCATCGATATAACAGTTTGTATAATTGTCCTCAATGCGGTCAGCATGATTTCCTTGACATCGGACGTCGTTGCACCTATGTCATTTCTAAATGTCAATTCCAAAATGTCCGATAGGATCTTGACGCATAGTTCTACCTGCAAGTCGGGATAATAGTCTCTTCCAAAAGTGTGCATAGTGTGGTTACGAATGCAAGTAAACAAAATATAAATTGATAATGGGTAAAAGATCAAGATAAAAGTTCTGTAAAGAGCCCCGGGGCGTTGGTTACAGAAATAGGCAAACAGTTGAATTTGAATAGCGTCCAAGTGTTCACCGCGACGCACAATAAATACACGAATCTTTCTAGGTACATAGGGGATGATCTCGAAAGCCAAGCATGTGCTTTATAAATTACCTCTTCGGAGTAGCCACGGTGTTGGTTCAGTCGATGTCGGTTTTCGCCAAGCAGCCTGGCTACCTTCGCCACGCTTTTTCCAGGCGTACCTGACAGCCCCTTTACACGCCAATAACCAAAACCAAACCGAACACAAAAATAAAACAACCCTCTGTTAGTCGAACCACGACAGCAGTTTCCAATGATCGTTTAATTATAATCTCCTGAACGTCCTCCCCTAATTGGGGAAGGTTCATGTCTACTTTCATAGAGTCAAAAGATCCTTTGAAGTAAGAATTACAGAGGAAGCAGGAAACTAACGGTCACCGGCATATAATGATCGAGACATGCTATCATTTAAATCAAGATTCGATATACATTCTTTCACCGTGACAACATGCTTCGTTAACAATTTTAAAGGATGTCTTTTTGAATAATAAACGTAGATTGCTCTTGGGCTGCTATCAGGAAATCATCATTCTAATTCAGTGGATTTGAGAGTAGAATAGTGGTATAAGATATATCACGGGAAAAAAACGAAATTCGAACAAAAAGACATCCAGTAGAAAAGGATTTACAGAGACTAAAAGATTTACAGAGAGATGCGTGGCGAGAGGATGTCAGGCTGCACGGTAAGCACATAAAATAGTTTGATGTATTGTATTGTATTATATTATATTACAATGCAGATTGATGTAAAACTAGAGTGAGTTTCATATCAGATGGACCAAAGAAATGCGGTAAAAGTAGAGCGATTAATAGATGATATGTGATTAAGTGACATATTGACAATGATTTGCCTGCAATCTAATCTTTGGTGAAGTTTGGTATGAACAAAGCTGATATAACGACAGCTCATGTTATCCCGATTGTAAGAACTCAAATAATACTGTGGGATGACATGAACCATGCAATCTTTTCAAAGTCACACGCATAACATTTTAGTACTGTTTTTCATTTCTTTGTACGTGCGTATCGTATCACTGTATATCTTACCTCTTCTTTAGCCTCGAGAAGATCACGGACAAGAATCGTTATCCTGGGCAATAAAATTGCTCTACAATCCACATTAAGAAACAGCGGACTGTGCACTATATCATTCACAGTCATCATCTTCTGCTTCGTCAATCTTCCTGGTGGCAAAGTTACTAATAAGTCAGTCAAAATATTGCTCAATTGTTTTCCACTGTAAACCCGCAACAAATGTGGAATTGTAGTTGGCAAATACTTGAGGCAGGCTCCTTGTACCAATAGAGTGCTATCAGTTTCGTGGCTCATCAGTTCCACAATGGATTTCAATAATTCAGTTAGAGTTTGTGAAAATTCTTCCTCATCCTGATCCAATCTGCACAAAGAAGAGACGTTATGCTGCTTCATGTTGAAAGATGCTGAGTTAATGATACAGAAGTTATTCAGTAGAACTCACTCTGTAAACCGCAAACGGGACTCGACAACAAATCGCATGCAGTACTGTAAGCTCTTCATCGTCTTGAGCAACAAGTCTCTTTCTTGGCCATCATTAGTACCAGCGCTATCAATCCTTTTACGTAAAACTGCAATTAGCTTTTTATATGCAAGCGTTGCGGAGAAACTTTCGGATATGTATAAATCTAATACTGGTTGAAAATGTTGATACTTCCTATCCGACACCAATCCGATAATATATAAGAGACACTCAAAAACCATATCATCGTAGGCATCGCTATCAGAATTACTCATTAGAATATTAAACAAAGCGTCCAAAACATCCTGCAAAAGATCGCCGTCCAGATTATGAATTAAAGAGAAGCTCATGCAAACCTTGTTAGCAACTCATTTTTATTGACACGTACCTGCAAGAACTTGACTACTTCTTCCCCATCAACCTTCATCAGAGCCGTGAGAGATTCTTTTAAATCCGTACGGCGCGACGCCCAATTCAATAAGCCCAGTAAATCGACATTTTGGGTTAATTTCGTCGAGCAGACGTTTGTCGATATTAAAAAATTGTCTTTTGAACTCAGACTCAATGGACCAAGTGTTGGCTTTTTTTCTGCATTTAATTCTAGCTGAAGGCGAAAAAGATCGTGTATTTTCAATTCGAGAGATTAACATATCTTATTTTTTATCGATCAAATATCTTCTTACCAATTCGCCTCGGGTAGCTGGCAACTTTAGATATGTCGTTTCATTCTCCTCGTACTTCTTATGATCCAATTTATAAACTAGCAACTCGTGTTGAGTATCTTGCAGGGTAGTGCCATTGCGCTGCATCAATTTCACATAACTCAACGCGAAGGGTTTCTCAGATTTATCTTTAGCCTCGTTGGAACTACGATGCTTAAAGGTAAATTTCAGGTGAGCCTGCTTGAACTCTTCTATCGGCACAGCGATCTTGAAAGTTTCACACCACCGTGGCTTGTCTTCGTGGTAATAAATAACACTACGATACTCATCGATCGGCTGAGCACCGCCACCAAGCTTCATCACCCCGGGAATAGGGATGCCGACTTCGTTACAAACTTTTACCTGTATCAAGTGAGACGATATTTTCATTATGCTATCACATATAGATTAATCATATTTTTATTAGTCATAAACTTTTTTCTGCTGCACTAACAGTAACTTCGACGTTTTTATCGGTCGACTTGGATCCTTTGCTGAACTCTCCACAAACCAATGTAAGATATAAATCATTCCTGACGTCTCCTGGAAGTATGACTTCTGGAAATCCCATTTTTCGGGCAATGGCCACGTTACCCAGAACTAGATGCGGGTTCTCTTCGCGTACCTAAATAATTAAATAATGTTTGTTTTGTGTTGTGCAAGAGTAAAATTTTTTCCAATGTGTAATACATACTTGTTTCGTGTCTCCTCGAAGTAATTTTAAACTAGCCCACAATCCTTGTCCACCAGCGATTCCAGTGCTGCTTCCACTTCCGCTCTTCTGATTACTCGCTTCCTTTTGCGCGAGGATCCTACGTAACGTTCCATCCAGGCTCTCCTTCTCACAGCATCTGAACCCAAACGGAAGGAAACCAACAAAACAATTCTACCTCGATCTTCGAATATATTGGATCACATCATCAGAAAGATTTTTTTACAAGAGGGTAATGTAAACTTACTGTAAAAATGGTATAAAATGATGATGTTCCACATCTCCCTCGAGCTTTCCCGTGATATAAAGAGTGATATCCATTGCAGCAACACCAAATGGTCTTCTCATATTATCTAAGCTTTTAGTTTTCTGGTTATTAGGAACGATACTTGAGCGACGATGATCGATCTCTTTTGCTTCCATGCTACCTACCCGGATAGCATAACAAACCAAGTATACTTTGTCCCTAGATAGATCTCGAGAACCGAGATCAGTGAACAAAACTCGCAAATTGTGGAGTTGGTCAATATCACGGGCAAGACCTTCTTTACTCCACGATACAACATAATTTTCTGTAATCGCCTTCATCTCTCGACCATCGTACAGTGTCAAAAGCAACTCCACATCTTCAGCCATTTTACATACAAAGTTTCGTACACTCACAAAAAATATATGAGAGTATACCGGTACTTGAGGCTTGCTTGGTTTCTTCTTCGTTTCCGTTGTCGCTTTTCTGATTCTCTCTGCAGCTGTTTCATGATGATAGTATAATTGAATCGTACTAGTTTGTTCAGGATTTAGTACATTGCCGTGTTCATCACGAACTACCATGTCCAAACCCAATAGTTGATTACCAGTATCTATTCTGGCAGTGGCCAGTCTCTTCATGTCTTTTAACTCATCAACGGTTAAGGTACCACTAAGAATTTTACTTCTATATCCAATTAATTCAATAATTTGCTGTTGAATTGTAGAAAAGTGTTCCGAATGTGTCTGTGTACATAAAAATGTTTTTAAACTAAATTGTAAATTGTACTTCATGTTGCTTGGAGTAAATGACATTTGTATAATACAAACCACATATAAATGCTTCCAATGATGTCCCCATTCTCTAAGAACACTAGTAATTTCATGTGTGAGAGCTTCCATGTTCATTGATTGAGGTAAAATATATATGTATGATTTTGGGAAAATACCCCTAGTTCCTTTATATTTACTACAACCATAATACCAGTCGTCACATTCTTCTAACAACTGGACCACTTCTCCAACTGTCAGCGGCAATCTATGTGGTCCATTTTGTCCAAAATTGTGGATTGCTGTAAGTACAAAACAGTATAAAATTATAATTGTAATATAAAAGATTCATATTTAATGTACTGATAAAAGACTTCAAAAAGAATTATTTTAAATTCCTACGTTTAAAAAATGTAAATTTACAAATTACATTCTGTATAAAATACTATTAATCTCTCATTCAATCTGTTATCACAATTCAATTTCCAACTCATTTGCTCGACATGATAATTAATTGCTTACGGTTTATTATTTATCCGTGACAATAATGTACAGGGGGGGGGG